ATCACTTTCTGTAGTTGGGGGGAGAACCCTCCTCATTCCCACTCGCAGGCACGGTCTTTCCTTAAAGCTGAAGGCTTCTGATTCTAGACTAACTAATACCACATTGTCCACATCCTTTTTCTAAAGACATCAGGAGGGCAGTGCAAACTGCTGCCTTTGCAGCCTCGTCTCCCACATGTTGCCATAGGGTACGAAGAAGCAGTTGTCACCGTGAGGCAGCAGATAAATTTGGTTAAGAACTCACAGGGTGAGAGATCCCTTCTATGAAACAAAGCCATTGCCAGAAGAATACGCGGGAAGTGCACTCACACCCTGCTCATGAGTAATGCCTCCTTTCTGTGGGCATCTGTAGGTGGCAGTGTCCCTGCAAAGCCATCCACAAACATTGGTTGCACTTCTTCCATCCAGTCCTCTGCTATCAGTGCAGCTGTGCTGAGAGTGAGTGTTGCACCATGGAGGATTCCAAAGCTTAAGCCATCGTTCCTCACAGACAGAATTGCTTTCTATCTGATGATCTTCAGGCACAAGCAGGAAGCAAGGTGGGCGTTGCAAACCTCTGCCAGGGCATGGAGGTGGCTGCCAGCTCCAACAAGCACAAAAGCACGTGGTAAAAGCTTCATCCTTTGGACTAGGCATCCTTCAGCCAGGTGGATGCCAGGCTCAGTGCTTTGTAGCATCGCAGAGTGGTTTGGGGTGGAAGGGACCATCTTCTTCCAAAGCCTGCCATGAGCATCTCCCACAGACCCGATTCCAAAAGCCTCACCCAACCCAACCTTAAGCACCTGCTGGGATAGGGCACCCACTGGAAGCCTCAGAGTAATAGAATTTCCCCAACACATAACCCTGTATCTCCCCACTTTTAGCTTAAAGCTCTCCTCTCTGATCTTGTTTCCACACTCACTGGCAGCGTCACCCCACAGCTTCCCCACAGCCCCTGTTATGTACTGGAAGGCCACAGTGAGGTCTCTCCAGACTCTTCTCCATGCAGTACAGCCCCAGCTCTCAGCCTGCCTCCATAAGAGAGGTGCTCCAGCCCTCTGCTCATCCTCACAGCCCTCCTTTTGCTTGCAGGCACTAATTAAAATCTGTTCCACAGCAGCTTTTAGAAATCTTTGTTTCTTATATACCATAAGTGCTTCTTTAAGGACAAACTAAATTCACTGTAAAATTAATTGGATCTTGTTTTCCTGAAACAGAAACCTGCAGAGTTTGTGTTTGAGTTCAGTTCCCAGCCAGGAGCTGCTGTACAGCCTCAGAAACCAAACAACCTGGCTCCAGCTTTTCTGCAGCCATCCTTAAGCAGCATATTTTTGAGTCACACTCTACAGAAGATCTAGTCCCATAGAGGGGTGAGGAACTCTTTGTTCTCAGGGATAAGTGTTACAAAGAGCACTTCCTCACTGCACCTATAAGCAATAACATTCAGATGAGTGTCTTTCACTCAGTTTCCAGGGTGTGTAGATTTAGTGACCAAATCCCACCACCTACCCAGGTGTGCTTTGGTAACTAGGGAACAGACTCCAAACAAGGCTCATCTTCTGTCTGAGGCTGTGTTTAATCCCTACCTGCATTGAAGAGAGGGAAGGGAAGGGAAGGGAAGGGAAGGGAAGGGAAGGGAAGGGAAGGGAAGGGAAGGGAAGGGAAGGGAAGGGAAGGGAAGCTGCCCCCATCAGCCTCATCCTCTGCGATGACTGTACCCACATTGTCAGAATAGTGGGATTTCTGACAGCTCCTCTTTGTGCCATGAGAAGAGGCAGAATCACAAGGCATTGTGTGCCACACGCTGTGCAAGACCTAATAAATGCCTCGTGAGTACAACTGCTGCACCAAAGGGCACGAATGGCTGTAGACCAGAGGTGCTGAATCACTGGCTTGGTAGTTTCTGCATGATGTCGTTATCAGCACCCAACACGCAAAACTGGGGGAAAGAATTTGCTTTTTTATCTTGCCAGATCTGATTTTTTTCTTTGAGGCTCAGCCACAAAGTGAGGAATGCACACTCCTTATCTTTGCATTTCCCAGCTAAATATTCCTTGTGCTGCTTCTGGGAAGGCCGAGCAAAGTCCAATAACTCACCTACCAAGTTCCAGTGACGAGGAAGGAAGTGCAGAGACACAAATAGAAACCAGCATCACAAAATCTGCACGTGAGACTGATGCAATCTCTCCAACCCTTCGTCCCATCCCTTGCACTGCAGAGCTGAGGATGCCCTTCAACCTCACATAGCTGAGAGCAGCAGCCCCCCAGCGCACATCCCTGCTGACCTCATGTGCTTGGGAAGTCATCGTTTCCTCCTAATTCCATAGAAAAATGACCAAATCTCCCCACTCTACATTCTCTGGGTTGAAGCTAAGTCATGGCACAGCTGTGCAATGTCCAGCACAGCTGGGAAAGCATCAGCCTGCTGAGGATCGGGGCTGGCACAGAGTGGCATTGGGAGCCTGCCCAGCATTGAGGACAGCACTCAATGAGGCTGCAGTATGGCACTGCCAGGGCTCTGACTTCTAACACTGCTCAGCCATGTGGGGGCAGCAGGCTGTGCGAGCCTCCATTGTGTGAGATGGAAAACAAAAATGTTTTTAAAGGCTTAGCAAATAATTGCTGTGGGAAGCCCCTGTTTTGAGATGGCGATGTATGAAGTGCTTGTTGTTCTCAGCTGCGTGAGGAAATTGTAGCTGCAGCCATTCCGAGCTTCTTGACCTTGTTTTCCAGAAAACTGTTGTAAGCTAAAAGGCATCAAAGTTTACCAATGCATTCAATGTTTTCTCAAGCTAAGCAGAGGCAGAGCCCAGAATGAGACCTGGGTGTTACGACAGGCTGGAAACTCAGGAGAACCAAATGATGGCTGAACACGTGAAGAAATCTGCTTCAGACGTGACCCAGTTTGCTGGACAAATTCCTCCACGTGGCCTCTTAAGCTTCTCAGAGCAAAAGCAAGCTCAGCTATGAAGGACAACAGTCCTGCCAACAACCACTTCAGTATTTGCAAACAAGTCAACAGATCTACGTAGAGAAATGCTGGTTGGAGGATATTCACCTGTTCTTGCCATGCACGTCAGCTGGCAACAAGAATTTCCTTTTTTGGAACAAGCTTCCTGCTGAGATCCCCTTCAAAATGTGGAACCTGGAAAGCTCATCACATTTTCCAGTGGGGAGAGATGGGACCTTTGGGCACCCAGGTGGACGGAGAGGTGCAGGGGAAGCAACCCCCACCCACCCTGTGGGTGTAGATGGTGGGGGCCCTTCAGCAACGCTGGGAACACCATGGGGATGCTGAAGGAGTGATAGTGACAGACCCAACTGTTCTATTCTCGTGGGGTCACCATCCCTAGAGGTGCTTCAGAGCTGTGGAGATGTGGCACTGAGGAACGTGGGCATGGTGGGCTGGGCTGGGGCTGGATTTGGGGATCTTAGAGCTCTTTTCCAACCATAACAGTTCTATGATTCTTACCTGGTGTGCAGGGCCTCTCAGTTCCCATTTGTCCAACCAGCCCAGGCTGGGAACAGGTCACAGCTGCTGCATCACCTCTTGTTTACTCTTTGAGCCTTTGTGCTTTCAGGAAGCTCCTCAAACCCTGAAAGGAACAGAAATTACAAACTGAGAAGAGAAAGAAATCAGGGAGCGAAGGATAAAATCCTGCGGGAGAACAACAGCTTGTCTGTGAGCACCAGCAGCATAAGCCACATCAGCACACCTCTGCTAACAGTGATGTGGTGACTTCTGTTTGTCCTACGTGTCACCTGAAGGCTGTGGGAGGTTCAGGTCCCATTCTTGCTCACCCCAGTGCCAGGTGCCCCCGAGTTGAGCGCAGGCTGCTTTGCACAGCACCCCTAAGCTGCTCCTGCTCTTGCACGTGGCCAAATTCCTCCAACTCACTTCTTCCCTGGCACTGGCCGTGCAGCACCTGCACAGCTCCAACCATCTCTGCAGAGATAACACGTGCAGCAGCAAGGGACGAGTCCCAGCAGGGAGAGCGTGGGCACACAGCGGGGGATTGCAATCAGAAGAAAAACCCTACAAATCAAATAAAGCCCGTGCTTTAAAGGAGATAAGATCAGTGCCTCTTTGGAATGGTGATGGGCGGATTGGAACAAGCTTAATGTGCGTTCACCTTATCTTGCATTCTCTCCCCAGGGCTCAGTGTTGCTCCCAGGGCTGAGTGCAGGAGGATACAGCACATCCGCTCCATCAGAGCGCTGCTGATGCTGTGGGGATGTTTGCAGGCCAAGGGGTGACTTTGTCTGACCTCTGATCTGCTCGTGACCCCACGGCTGGGGCCGGTTGGTGTGGGTTTGTAATGCAATCACGTTCTCACTGCACACCTCCAAAAACCCCCTTGGGTGCCTTTCAGCACAGCCTGCCCTCACTGCTGACACCAAGATGCGAACCGTGGCAACGCGTGACCTCACCATGCAAACTCGTTCATTCGTCATTCACCCATCCCCATTCCAACCCCTCCAGGGCACTGCTCTGCTTCGGGCACATCACAGTCAGACGTGTCCCAACCCCTCCTGTTGCTGGAGCTGGGATTTGGGAGCTCCAGCCATGAGTCAGTGCCGCACCTGAGAGCCCGACTCATCCCGTGCGGAACACGCAGCTGTGCATCAGCTGCTTAAATAAACTCCAGGGTTTTTCTTTTTCTTTTTTTTTTTCCTTCCTGTTTTAAGCACTTACCCACATTGGGTGATAGGGAAGACCAGTGTGAGGTTGGAGTTTCTATGCGGCGCTCGCAGCGTTAGGGGAAATTGGCTTCTGTGTACAAAACATCTGAGTCATCCCTGGGGGAGAACTGCATCCACATTTAATGGCACTGCCTTCTGCTCTCTGGTGCAGCTTATAAGGAAAAGTATCATTTAAATTACCAGGAAGAAGCCTGCGCTGCCAACTGGTGTAAACTTCAGTGAAACCCTACGGGGGGTTTATCCTCTAAGTTGCTTCATCCTCACAATTAGTGATGTTGCAGTGAGTGTGAACAGCTCTGTGAGCTGCAGCAGGAGGAGGAAGGCAGTGTTACTTCGGCACCATGGGACTGCTGTGGGATCTCACAGCAAAGCCCCATTTCCCAGAACCCAAGCAGCATCCACCTGCTGGCACATTTGCATGCTGATCTAAAGGTCAGCGTTGATCAGGAAGATCCCTTGCCATGATATCTGAGAGCCTGCACGAAGGAGAAGCTCCACCATGCAGAAATCCCCACTGGAACTGCACTGCAGGCAGGGCTGGCACTTCCCATCGCAACCACAAAATGGTGCACAGAATGTCACCTGCCTGGAAACCACACAAAGGGATGCAGCTGCCTTGCTTACCAGGCTGGCACTGACAGCTGGTCCTTACCAGCCCTGCATCACAGCAGCAGGGCAATGTCAGCTCCAAGTAGCATCTGATATAGGCTGAGTTATCCCCTGTTGTCTCAGCATCCTCACACAGGCCAGCTGGCTGAGATCTACAGCTCTGGTGCAGCAGAGAAGGATCTGACCTGGCATTGGGGGCCCCAGCAGCAGAACACCATGCCATGGGCAGGGCATGCATCCATTCTGCATCACACACAACGTCTGCAAGGCTCCTCAGCTCTTGCAGACCTCAAGAGTGGGAACAAAGTTCTGCTCTATTAGATGGAGCAAAGATCTGCATGGATTAAGACCAGCCTTTAAAAAAAGAAAAAAAAAACCCAGTACAACCTGGAAAAACCCAAACAGTCCTATCAGCACCAACATCCAGCTGCAGGAAGTGTTCCTGGGCTCTGCTCCAGCTCAGTTGTTCTGGGTGAGACGGAACGCACCGCACAGCCCACGTGCATCACTGACCCTGCTCCTGCACTGCTCTCTGCATGCCCACGTGGAGCTGAGAGCATCAGGGCTGAGCATGGACTCATCTGGCTGAGCACCAACACGTCTGGCTTTGTGATCAGCCTTAACCAGTGCCTGCTCAGACCTGGGCTCACTTGGAACCCCACATTTTGTCTTATGGGCAGAAAAAGCAACACAGGGCATCCCGACACCCTGAGGGGGAGGCAGCCATTCAGCAGTGGGCTCACACCCCAGAAAGGTCTTTGTTCATGGACAGAAAAAAACCCTCTTTGTCTGGAGAAAGCACCGAGCCAGACCAGCATCCCAAAGTGTGGCTACCTGCTCTCTGATCATAGCATCATTTAGACTGGAAGAGACCCTATAAGGTCATCAAGCCCAATTGGTCCACGCTGGTGCACGTGGGCAGAGCAGGAACTGCCCATCAGCGTGCGTTTCAGCGTGCTCTGAACAACTTCCTGGGGGCAAACATCCTATTTCAAACTCCAGGCTCTTCCTGGAAACGACTCAGCAAAAAGAACCCTAAAAAAGTCGAACTCATTCAAGGCAGAAGAAACAAGCTTTGTGTCATCCCTGCCACAGGCTGCACAGTGCTCAGCTGGGGCTCGCTGGTGACATCCACAAGTGACTGAAAAAAGCCCTGTGGGAAGCGAGGCATGGATGGACAGCAGTGGCTGATGGCAGTGCCCATGGGTTCAGAGCCAGCAGTGACACAGCTGGGCTGAGCTTAGGGATGTGTTTGAATGGTCATTTTGTGCGCAGTGCTGCTTCGCGTGCGGTGCCATTTGGTGTGCAGAGCTTTTTGTGTGCACAGTTCCCTTTTGTTAGTGGCTGATGTCACGTTCCCATGAGGTGAGGAACGTGCAAAGTGGGCATAAGGATAAGCAGTGCCTGCAGAAGGCAGTGGGACCCCCAGCTCCACCTCTCCCCGGTGAGATCAGGAAAGGACAGTGGTGACAGGATCATGTAATAAAATAACCTCTTGGGTTTCTTTCTTTAGAAAACTCACATGGTATAAAATCAGGTAGCTCAAAAATAAGTTGAAAGCCAGCAGGACCTCAGACTTTTGGGACATCTTCCACACAGCCTGTCTCAGGCAGTCCACTCCTTTCTCAGTGTGCCAAGAGCAAATGAATCCCAGAATCACATCATCACTAAGGTTGGAAAAGACCTCCAAGACCATCCAGTCCAACTGTTGACCCATCACCACCCATACCCACGATGAGACCCAAGGGCCTCATCAACCCAGCTACACAATGACAGCCCAAACCCAAACTCATAGAGCTCAGAACTAAGCCAGGCTCAGGCCTGCAGTGAGCTGCTGGAAGTGTTTCTTTGCTGATGGATTGCAGATGCTCCTGGCACACTGGAGGAGCACCCAACGCGCGGCACAACGCAGCGCTCATCCACGTTGCCTCTCCAGTTCGTTTTTGAAACATTAATAAATTAATGAAACCATGGTAAAAAAGAAAGAAGAAGAAGAAAAAAAGCAACCCTAAGAGTCCATTCTGTATTCCCACTAGGAGAGAAAGCGCTCCCGCACCTTCTTCTCTATGGAGGTCAGTTTGGTGGCCCGGAGCGCGGCCAGCAGCTCTGTGATGACGGCTGAGTTCTCCTGCTTGCGGTGTGTGAGCACAGCCCGCAGCTTCTCCTGAGCCACTGCCTTGGTTTCCTGGGCCTGCTTTTTAGGTGTGCGCTCCAGGATTTGCTGCAGGCGCTTCAGCTTCCGCAGGGGGATGTTTTGGTATGCCACAAAGTCAATCAAAGCTTGCTCGCAGTCCTCGTCCTCTGGAGCTGGGGGAGAAAAGCAGCCAGAGGTCACTGTTGGATGGGGGGAGAGCAGCACTCTGAACATCAGAACCCTGGAATCCCCAAATCCCAGGATGGTTGGGGTTGGAGGCACCTCTGGATCCCTCTGGTCCCCCCTGAGCCGGAGCCCAACCCCACGTCCAGGTGGGTTTGGAGATATCCATGGAGAAGACCCCACAAACACCACGTGTGGCAGGCAGGAGGTAACTTTGAAGAGTTCCCTTCGTCTCAAAAATAGCAAATACACCTTTCCCATGCTCCTCCATGCCATGAAGTTGGGAGGAAAAATTAAAAGGAACTGCATTCAGTATGTACACACTCTGCTTTTCCTAAAGGTTCCTATTTTCCCATGCAGAATTTCACATCTGGGGACAGGACCAGCCACAGACACACCCTAGATCAGAATTTTGGAGTAGACCCCATGATGACTTATTAAAGAGCTCCCAAAATTTAATGTTGGGAAGGGAATACATCACTATCAGGCATGCAATAAGTTCAAGGCCAGTGCTATGCTTTGCATTATCTCATTGACACGTGGCACTCTGTGCTCATATCTTTCCATGCCACTGTTTATTCCAGGCCAAAATTCACATCACACCGAGACTGTGCTGACCTTTACATTCTTACTCCACTCAACACACACAAAATAAAGTGTGGACTGCAATAAAAGTTTTCTGGGAAACACAGCAGATCCTGTGCCACACGGCCAGCATCTGGTTTTGGGCAAAGGCTGCAGCAGCCACCTCATGTTCTGGAATCTCTATCAGCAAAAGCCCCACTGGAAGCACATCTGTCCCACACCTGGTTGCTGTGCTTACTGAAAATCTGACCTCAGGCAGAGATGGTGGGAGAAGAAGCACTTCTTGTGTCCTGCAGCCCCAGCATGGATTGCTCTGTGCTGTTACCACCTGCCTGACCTGTTTTCATGCTTACACCAGGATGCTGGCTCTCACCCTGTGTTTCAGCTCTCACCTGGTCCCTGCGTGCTGTTGCTCCCACCCATCCTGCAGGAGGTGCACAGGGTGTCATGGTATTGGTTTCCTGGCACGTTGGTCTCCTTCCCCAGCTGCGTGCAGTTCTGGTGCGCCCGGCACGGCTCAGTGCTGGAGCTGGAAGAGGAGAAGGAGCCCCGCGGGCAGGTGTGGCACTGCGTGTTCTCAAAGGGGGAACCTGGAGGGAGACATGGGATATTAGACATCGACCCTACTTGTGTGCTGGGTGAGGAGCTGGTGGGAGAACCCATCAGCAGGCATCCAGCAGCAGCGCACAGCCATGCCACCACCAAGCCCTTCCCCAACAGCCATGGGGCTCCAGACATAAGGAGGGGATGCTGTTCACTAAAGGGGCACCTTGTGGGGCAGCAGAATTGGCTGTGAGCACCAAGGGGCAGCTGCCAAGAAACCCTTGGATCTCAGCACGAGCGGAAGCCCTCAGCCAAACGAAAGTAAAAGTGGCTGAGAATGCAAAGCTCAGCTCAGCACTGCCCTTCCTGCAGAGCCCAGAGCTCTCCCAGCTCCACGCAGAGGATGCTGCTGGTAAGCAGCTCAATGGAAATCACAGCAGTATCACTTCTTCAACGCCCTACGTGGCTCCTCAGACTGACAACTCACTCTCCAGATAAATCAGTGCGTAAGTCAACGGAGTTCCCCCACGTTCTTTGGAGGCTCAGCTCACTTTATGCTGAATGGCTGCATTTTGTAACGCTCCCTCAGAAAAACTGAGCCACCGAACTCAACCTTAAGCATCACCTGGGGACAACAAACACTCCCCATCTCGCCCTGAGCCTGCAGCCCTCCCATGACGCACGCTGAAGGATTCCCAAAGCACCTCCTGAGCACAAAGCAGGAGGTGTGGATGCTGCCCGTGCTGCTGTGTTGTATCACCTGTGCTTTCCTAACAGAGAGCTCGGTGACTCAGCAGAGGATGAAAGGGAAGCACGCACCTGTTGTATGCTAATAGTATTTTTAGAAAGCACAGAGCCAAGCAAATAGGGCAACGAAAGGACCAGATGTGATTCAGGAAAAGATGGAGAAAAAAAAATAACACCCTAAAAACTATTGTGACTCAAAGGAGACTCAGACTGACAAATCTCCCCTAGAAGGAACCTCAATGAGACTGATGTTACCATTTTGGAATCTCTCCTATTTATCTATTTCATGTTTCAGATGGAGCCCATCCAAATTACTCAACAAATCCCACAAAACCAAGCCCCAGAGCTACGCACACTCCCCAGCCCTGCCCTTACACCAGCAGCATTCACACCTCCATCCCCTCGGCCACCCGCCTGCAAGGACAGCGAGCCAACAGCACACAGCTTGCCGAAACTCTGTGACCTTCAAGGTCCCTTCCAACCAAAGCCATTCTACGGATCAGCAGATGGCAGCCCCCCCCCCTGCACTGGGGTGAGCAGCTTTGGGCAATACCAGAACTACGCACCCAACTTCACGACTCCGGCACCTGGTGGGCACGGGGAGTGCTGCACACAGAACTCCAACTCAGCATAGAAACCCTCCTGGCACTGACACGCTCTGTTGTGAGTGGCGTTGCACTGCTGCACCTCCACCTGCCGCTCCCCGCAGATGACGTTGCAGTAGAGGCATTTCTCCAGGTAGTTCCAGTAGTGCGTGTAGTGCAGGTCGGGGCAGGGCGAGCACAATGTCGGGCTGTCCCTGGTGCAGTGCTGTGCCACGAACGTCCCCGGCGGGCACTGCTGGCAGGTGATCTTCTCCTTGGTCCCAGCATCTCTCCACTGGTACGTGGGTGGGGAGCTGCAGCCCAGCTCTGCCAGCAGCAGGAGGAGAGGAGCAAACGCCCGCTGTAGGGAAACAAACCGCTGTCAGCTCTTACATGGGGAAGAGCAACGAGAGCTCGGCTGCTGCGCTCCGTTGCTGCTCCCATTCGTCACCGCTGATGCAAGGAATTCTCCTGCTTGAAGCTCCCTCAATTGCTCTCCCACCTGATGCTCTCAGTCCCAACTGTGCGATGAGGCTCCACTGCAGCCCCCTCTGCCCGCACTCACCGTACGGGGGGGTGGCACAGCATCCACCCCAACAACCCCACAGCTCCTACACTCGTACTGCCGGCAGCACAGCACGTTCTCTTCCGCTTCGGAGGTTCCCCATCGTCGGGGTGAGGCAGCGGCAGAGCAGCAGGAGACAACTTTCCCAAGCGAGCAAAGCACGCTCCGTAGGAACCCGACATCCCTCCACCCCGGGGCTGAGAACCCCGTTACTTTCTTTATCCCCCCGCCCCCTCCTCAAACCGCTACCGACCCCCCAGACGGTGGGGACCCACCTTGGGCGGCCGCCGGACGGTCGGATCGGGGCAGAGCAGCATCGCCGCAGAGTCTACGAGGCACGGCGGCGTCGGTGGGGGCTCCGGATCCTCGCAGAGGCTCCGTGATGCGACGGCAACTCCCGCTCAGCTTTAAAAGAGATGCAGAGAGGGGTGAGGCTGCTGCGTGAGCTCTGCTCCCCCGCACACAGCCGGGGGCGGCGGGGCAAGGCAGGGTCTCCCGGCTGTCCTCTGTTGGTCTCGTCCCCGTCTGACCGCCACGCACAGCCCCTTTATAACCCTAAGAAGGAAAGAGGGAAAGACCCCTCTTGCGCAACGGCCCCCCGCCCCGCCGTAGCCCCGCACTCCCCCCGGCCCCGCTCCGCTGCAGCACGGTGCAATTACCTGTCCTCAGTACAGCGGCAGGTAGAGACTGCGCGTTATATAGGGATATGTGGGCGCTGAGCCGGGGCTCGCGGGGGAATAGCAGGGAATTCCCCGGGGGATGGCCTTGCTTTAAGTGCTCACAGCTTCCCGAGAACAGCCCCCAAAAGCTCCCCGTCCCGCAGCCCCCTAGGGGCATTCGGTACCGCGACTCACAGTCCCGATATGACCACGGCTGCACCGACGCAGATACAGCTGAACGGTCACAGTGAGGCTCACAGCCATACTCACCGTGTTCGGGTAGGGCATCCCCATAGCGGGTTCACAACTTCACCCTCTTCTTTCCCGAGCACCGCAGCTCCGGCCCCGCTCCAGCTGTGACGCCGAACCCCGCTGCTCAGCGGGTGCAGCACTCAGCAGCACGGCAGCATCAGACAGCAGATGCTGTGCTGGCAGTGCCGGACCCGAGAATGAGCAGCGGCAGCGCTGCTCAACAGAGAGACCCAGGAGCGCGTTCAGCAGCACCGCTGTTGTTGCTTAAATGCATCAGAACGGGTGTACTTTGTCCTGCCCTACTCGGGCTCCCTCTGAAGTCCAAGGACACCTCCACGCTGTGCTCGAAGTGCTAATAATGGTGAGCCCTAGGCAGCTCGTGGCCTTCCTTAAAGGCAAGGACAGAGGGGAGGAGAAGGAGCAAGGCATCCCCTTCCCTCGGGGTGCAGGCAGGAGCCCCATCCTGAGCTCAGCCCTCCCTTACAGACATCCCCGTGGGTTCAGTGCTGCAGGGCAGGGAGGAACAGCACAGCTGCAGGAGACTGAGAGCAGCTAGGGGGCAAAAAGATGAGCAAATTATCCGGGCGTTCAGCTTTCCAACCGATGGAGGTGAATACAGCACCATACGATCCCATCGCAGCACAGAGAGCACCCATCTGGGAAAGCACTGCACCCACCTCCCTCTGGGCTTTCTGCAGGGCTAACACCCTTTGGTGGCTTCGTGCATGGGGGGGCAGCACCTCTCAATGCTCAGAGTTCCCAAATATATTTGTACACAGACACTGTGCACAGTGATGTGTGCTGCATCCAGATCAGGTGCATGCGTGGGGAGAGGGAGCACAGCTTCGTGCCCCATAGCAGCCCCAATCCAGCAGCCCCATAGGAGGAAGCAGCTTTGGATACCCACAGAGGCTCTCTAAAGACTGAGACACTCAGCAGCAGCCAAACCAGCATCATAAACACTGCGCTCCAAAAAACAAATGCGAAGTTGCTGTTAACATAAAGGTGAGTCACAGTGCAGGGGGTCAGAGGATGTGGAGGTTTTGCTCAGCCAAATGAGTTTGCAAATCATTACAGAGAATTACCCACACGGAGCACTCACCTTCTGCAACACCGGAATTCATGTTTGGCAGAGGGACACCAAACTGCCCCAGCTCACCTCTGGGTCACTGCATCTGCACTCCTTTCTGGGTGGTGACTCTCATTGGATCCATTCCTAATAATCTTAAGGATCCTACGAGGGCTGAACGTTTCCCTAAGAAGTCCTCAAACCAAACCACTACGTCACCACCCAGGAAAAGCAGCACATCCTGATGTTCTGTAGGATCCCAAGGTTCCTTCCAGCAGCACCAGTCCCACCCAAGAGCCACATCTTTGTAGGTGGGACACAGAGCAGTGACTGAGCAGTGCATGCTGAGTGCCAGGGCTGGGACATGCCAGCGCCTCTGTGCTGACACATCTCAACTTGTCCAAGAAGCTGCAACAGAAATCAGATCATAACTTTTGCAAACCCACGAGCTGTTGATGTGATGAAGGGTCACAATGCAGCATCTGTAAAGTAATGGTTACTCAAAGCAGTCTGAAGGGCTGTTTGTTCTACTCCGGTCCTCAGTGTTCTGTGATTGGAAAAAAAACCTGAGTGCCCTCTGTTAACACCTTTGTTGTGCTACCAGCAGCTGCACACACCTCTCTGGATGGAGGAGCCCACATGACACTGAACCATATGATGATGGCACACCTGTGCCCTGCTGGGGATGAGCAGTGCCATGGATGCAGGAAGTGCCAGGTCAAATCACTCTGCAGCACTACCAGGCCTCTCTGCTCTGACTTTAGAACAAAGCCAGCTCAGATTAATGCTCATAAAGAGGGAAATACCATGTCAGGAGGACTGAAATGGCACATCCAGGCAATATCTTTCTGTCATGGGGACAAAAGCCAGTAAACCAAGCACCTCCAGTTACCCTTCTTCCATCTGTTCCTTTACTTGACCAGTGAACCTCCAAGGATGGGCTCAGTGCTGCTGAAGGCAGCAGTTCCACTCACCCTTGACCTCCTGACCTGAGAAAATGCTTCAGGGAACAACACAGCACCACAGCCCCAGGGGGTCGATTCCACTTTCCCATCATCTCACACTTTCAAGAGCTTCAGGGTGCCCCAAAGCATTGCTTTTCATAACCACTGCAAAATGAAGTCTCATTACTATTCAGAGAGAAAACTGTACAGCAGAGAAACCCCTTGCTAGCAGTAGTTGCTTATCAACACCAAGAGTAGTCAATTCACCTCTTTCCTGATAGGGTTGCTTTGTTTGGTCTCTTCTGAGTTGTTTTATTTATGATGAAGAGAGTACATGGGTAGGAATGTTCCAATGACACACAGCAGAACTGAAGGCAGCTCTCCAGTCACAGCACCATAAGGCAGAGGTAATGAGTTACACATTGAACTACCTCCTCTCTGATGTTTTAACTCCCATGTCACTTTGCTTCCCAAAACCCACCAGGAGTGCCTATTATAAGTTTTCCTTTCCAGGAACAGTCAGTTCCTCTCACCAGATGCATCAATGCAAATGTTTCAGAAAACAGTCTTGTTTTCACTTTCTGGGCTTCCTAAGCTGTGTTTTCTCTGCCTCTTCTCGTAAACCCAGCTCATTCCAAGACGACCAAAAGTTGCTCTCATTTCTTGGGGGCACATCCTGAAGCAGTTCCTGGTGCTGCTGCCCTGCAGTGCTGGAGGCAGCCCCGTGCTGGGGACCTACAGGCAGGGACCACAAGAAAGCAACAACCCAGGCTGACTCCAACCCAATTCCACCTACAAACAGCAGCTCCATTGCTGGGAGCACAGGTGCAGCTCAGAGCATGTTGGTGTGGTCCTCTAAGTCCAGTAAACAGTAAATCTTCACTGAGATGATCCAGCTGCTCAAATGCAAGAGAAGGAACACACAACTCTTTGGAGGCACTGAAGTTTTAACACAGCCTCATCTCAGTAACACTGCAGTATTTCTGGATAGAAGTGGTCTCCAAAACTAAACCAACCCCAGTGGTGGGGAAAAGAAACAGCTGAAAATCTATTCTGATTGTGGAAAGAAAGGTAAAAACTGCACCACGTTCTGATCAAGCACTTCAGTGACCACTGCTCACTTTCCCATGCTGTGGTTTCCCTCCAGTGGCACCAGCAGCAAGCTGCAGCTCTCCCACGGGACTTTGTAGAGCACACAGGAACTGAACCATCACCAAATCACTTCACTGCTCCCAGTTTCACTCAGCTCCAGGGCTTTCTGCTCCTTAAACTGAGAATCCAGGATGGGGATGATCCAGCTGTGCAGGTTTGGTTGTCCCTTGAGGAGAAACCAGATGGCCCCAAAGCTGCAGAGCAACACATCAGTGCTTCGCCAGAGAGCATTTGAGGTTTTTACTCCCATCATACAACAGCTCTTCTTACACCTGTTAAAAACAAAATCCTTTTAAAGGACAAGAGTTTAACATCAGTGCCTTCTTGACACCATCCCTCCAAATCTTCTCTTCATTTTCACAAGACTTATAAAAATCAAATATAGAAATCCTGTGGGTTAACAAAGAATCAAACAACAAAATTATTAAATACATTCTCCTAGAAAATTCTGAACACAAACAGAAGTGTCAACATCACCACAGGAGCCTCAAAAACAATCAGCAAAGGGAAAGAATGACAGAAATGAGCAAAAGATCATAAATACTCCAATGTCAAAAATCCCACAGCACAGAACTCTTCACATACTCCTACCAGGGCCACTGGCACTCCAGCTCTTGTTTCTATATCTGGTGGAAGAAAAATACAGCCCAACCAATACATAAAAATGTTTTTATTTATAGTTCAGTTAAGAGACATGACTGATGACTTAAAACTGATTTTATTTATGTTAACTCCTTATTCCCACTACTTACAGAGAGTGGAAGTATTGAGAAGCTTTTTTTTATCTATTCCACTTCATTTATTTTGAAGATTGAAATCAATTAGATCCTTTTTCTTCTTGGAAGACAACCATCAAACAACACTGACACAACAGGAATGCCAGTGCTAGGCAGAATATAAAGCCTCCTTAGAAGCACATTTCCAAAAATCCCTGCACTGTGGATGACACTGGGCTCTATGGTGCACAGCAGGCACCGTGCAGCATCTCTGCTCACCATCCAACCACTTGATTTTGTTTGAAGAAAAGCCCTCCTTTCAGTATCTTCTGCTATTGGAGACAACAGCTACTGGTAAACACCAGCAGAACGTGAACTGCTCCTCTAAGAACACTGACGGGGTCTGTAGGGCTGTGTCTGACCTGGTAACACAGCCAGCTCCACTCCAATATAGTACTGCTGTAGGGTTTTTCCAGGGATGGATATTACCTGAAGGCCAAGCGATGACAGCCTCTTCCAGGATACACAATTAGGTCCAAGTCAATATAAAATTCACGGGCTAAAATAAATAAATTCACCATCTTCATCCCAACAGAGGACAATGCTGCTTTGTTTCCTGCCAGCAGTGCACACACCTGACCTTTCAGACTCAGTTATTCGCAGAACAAAATGACATTTTGGTGCACAGCACGTTCACCAGCATCAAGGATCAGAGATGTTTAGAACAACCTTCCTCCTGCTTCCTACCAGCTCAGGGTCAGAGCACAGGAGCCTATTTCTGCTGACATGAAGCACTTGTCCTTTCTGGCAGTGAGACCATTACCAGAAATAAGCTCGAACCAAGCGCTTCTTCTTCACGTCACAGCAGCATTCTGGGCACTTCTTCATCTATAAAAACAAATGAAGACAACATACAGATTATACATAAACCTTCTCTTCCAAGTTTGCAATGGTCTGATATGAAATATAATCAATGGTTTCATTTTATTGCTCTTAAGATACCATGCCCACTATTTTTAGATGTGGAGTTACCATGCAATCACTGCTTTAACTGCTAGCAATGCACAGAGGAAAACAGAAAGGTTACTCGGTGAAGTAGCAACAAGTTTTAGAGCAGTTGGCTGAGACTTACAGCTACAGCACACCTAAGAGTAAGGAACGAGGAAACAGAACATGATTCAAGAACTTGCAAGAGCTGTTATGAAGTACAGAAGTGCTTGTTGGTAAAGGGCTGTAAAGTCACCAAGGAGTTCCGTGAACTTCCTCTGGCACAGACAAGAGGAAATGGGCACACCAGGAAATCAGTGGCACATGTGGTCAGGACCAGGATTCCTCTAGAGGTACAGAGTACATTTATTTCTTCATCCAACCACACACCTTTCCAGGTATCCAGCAGATGGTATGTGATGCATTTGTTTCTCAACCCAGGTTTCAGCATGCTTTTTGACTTACATTTAGAAAACCCTTGCCTGTAACCTTCCCTTGTGTGGAGGTTTACTGTTGTAACACAAAGTATGGACTGTAAAGTAGGTTAGGGCACTGTATTTTGATTCTAGAAACACAGAATACTCAAAATGGAGGAGGAGAAGAAACTCATTTTACCTCCCTGTACACACTGCTTTGTCAAATAATCCCCAAAATTTTAAGTGCAACTTATAATTGTGAAACTTTAATTCTCCCATAGTACACCTAAATAGCACAAAGAATAACTTCCAGTTCCTCTGGAATGCCTACAAGAAGAGCATGAGTGAACAAGGCATTTAAATACTGAAAAGCAGCAATAGACCTCTGCACAGAAAACTAAAACCAGAGACAGCATCCATAAGTGTGCTCCATGCAACACCCCTCACACATGGGCAGCCTCCCACCTCATCCAGCACTAATCTCTCTAACACTCACAGCTGCAGGGAATTCTGACTGTTCTTCCAAAAGTTTCAGAAATGTTCCAATATTATTCAGACTCTCTCCAGCACGAAGCTGTTTCAGCAACACAACAAATTGGAAAGGGCACAATTCACAAACCTTAAGTCACTGAGGCTTTAACAAGGCTGTTAGTCACTTCCTCAAGACAGCATACACTGAGCTGAATTTGAACTGAAGAAATACAGTGTGAGTAACTTGTCCTACATGAGTCTTCAAATCCAATCTCATCAGTGGCAACAAACCCCTGACACCATCTGATGAGAGCTCAGACAACAGCTACTGCCATCAGTGAGGGGAAACTGCCCACACCATGAACCAGAGCAGGGATTGCAATAGGGTGGAAGCATCAGGTGGTGGTTCCTCTGTGGTTGGTTATAGAGAAACGTGGGATATTTGCAAACAGCTTGTTTGCAAACCTGTGCTCTCCAGCAAGACATCTTCCCCTCACTTCTATATGAAGAGCAGTAAACACTTTTCTGTCTGATCACCTGGAAAAGTCTTCCTGCAGTCCTAAAGCAATACCCAGAACAGCTAAATATCTGACTTTTCAATAACATTCCTGTACTCTGAGAACCATTCATCACTAGAAAGATGTGTCACAAGTGTGACAAGATCACATAGCTTCATGCTCTATACAAAGAGCATAGAACAATGCTCACAGTGAACCTTGAGGGGTGTTTGAACTACAGAACAGACACAGCTAATGAGAAGATGCTTCTTACATCCCCTACATAAGTTTGTTGTTCAGAGCAAAAAACAGACCCTTAGACATACAGATTTTGATTTAAGTTGTCTACAGAGGAGACAGATGGATCAAACTACTGGTGTATGCAGAAAGATCAAAGCTCCAAAAGGTGCACTTTTGAAAGACAGGATGTCCACAGTGAGTTTTGAGAACTTTGTATTTGTCCCTTTTAAATAAGCAAGACGTTGAAATGAACTACCAAGACACTGGCCAAAATGACAACAAAGAAAGGAGACAGTTCTTCACATAACATGTCACCAAGCTGTAGAAGTGCCTGCTATAGGACACAAATGACAAAAGTTCACAGGAATTCCTGTCCTGCAAATGGTTTCAGGTTTGTGAGAATATTCACAGGAATGTGCCACGTTCACATATTCTCCTCTAGCCATAATTTTTTGGCTGTTGTCAGAGACAGGATGCTGGATTGGATGCACCTTTACTCTGACTCAGTATGCCTGCTATTATACTCCTATGATTTACTCATGTTAATTTCCAGCCTAAAAGATGTGCAATCACTAAAGGGTAATTAAAGAAAGCTGAAGCTGAGCAAGTTCTGAGATTTATCTATGAGTATTAAAATGCACATCAATATGAGGACTGACAAAAAAACCAGACCTCAGAATCACTAAATTCCCCAGGATGAATACTACAGTACAATGATACAAATTGCTTAATATACCACAGCTCTACACAGTTGGGTGAATTCTTAAACTGACATAACCATAATTATAAGCTATGTCTTACTGGCAAAAGGAACAGATTCTTTCCCAGGCGTGTACAAGATAGATTTTTATGGGCTGAGACAATGCAACAATCTCCCTTATTTCTAAGAACGGGGTCATAAATGCTTGCCTAACCAACAAATTCCCCAGGGGTCTCAATTCTATTCAACAGACAGCTCGAGCCCTGAGCTGTACAGATTGTAAATGCATGCTACTAATTCTTGGATTGACTCTTTATTACCATACAATGACTTGGGTTGGAAGGAACCCTTAAAGGCCATCTGATCCAACCCTTTGCAGTGAGCAGGGACACCCACAGCTCCATCAGTGCTCAGAGCCCCCCAGTTTGACCTGAGTGCCTGCAGGGATGGGGCACTCACCTCATCTCTGGGCAGCCTGTGCCACCGCTTCACTGCTCTCATCATAAAGAAGTTTTTCCTTTTATCCAATCTAAATCCCCTCTTTTAGTTTGAAATAACCTCCCCTTGTTAGGGTGAAAGCTTTTGAAGGAAGCTGAGAGGAGTTCTGCCTTCAGTCTCACTGCAGAACATGGAAAATAAAGATAACAGGGGAAACATTCAAGTGATAAACTTGAATGTGAGTGTTTGGATTTTCTCTCTGTCAACGGAAGAATTTGCTTTTCAGGAGAACCATGTGAACAGCCCTGGAAATCAGAGAAATCCCTATCAGTTTCAGGAAAAAGTGAAACTAATAAACAAGATAACCTTTAAGAACTGCTCCCAACATGTTTTGCAGCAAGTGAAGATGCACAATGGGCATTTTAAGGGTACATCATCCTCAGATTTGCAGTTAGGACATTGGTATCTTCCTAGAGCGCAGAGGGGGAGAGAGGAAGAGAGAGAAAGGAAATTACTAAATTCCACTGACCACCTGTGAAGTTCTCATGCATACACACTTCCACCACTGCAATCTGGAAACCAGTCAGTGACCATGAGTTTTATGAAATTCTTTTATCTTAATGCAACACGGGGCCTTGTTGTATTACTTTTCATATGACCTCAACTAGATTTCTTGGTGCTTCAAATTCCCATTTAGAATGAGAATTTACATCCTTGCTTTACAAGGAAGTTGTTGAGAAAAAACTTTAAGTTCCCAGGAAACTATTACATCACTGTGATAAAGATAATGAAGTACTTGGATGGAACAGATGCAGGTAGCAGCACAAATTCTACTCTGCAATCCATATACTACACATTATTGCACCTGTGCAAATACAGGCAGGAAACAACCAAATTTAACAGAGCATCAGCATAATTCTCAGTTCTGTATTTGTTTATTCCTGCAAATAACAGAACCACATCTGAAAAGCTCACCTATACCTACCAAACTCTGGATCCAACTCTAGTGGTAAGCTCGGCACAACTCCAGGAGCTGTGGGTGCTCTCACATTACTCATTTCTTTAGATACTTCAGTCTTTGATAATTCAAGTTTGCATTTCTGGCTGAGGCACGAGGAGGAATTCTCTCCTTCATTTTTTTCTGGAAGCTCACTCTTAGGAACATCTCCATCTGCCCATGAAAACAAGAGCACACGATACAGTAAAATGCAAAACACAACTCACAGTAAGTTCAGTAAGTTCCCATTGTACAAGAAGAAAACAATTTGAATAACTTCTTTTAACACCTGAAGTTCCTCTTACTTAACACACAACATTATTACTGAAAGAGGCTCTTTATGCTGAAATAATTCCATGGTAAACTATTCTTAGAGGATCCTGATTCACTCTTGCCCCTCCTAGGTGCAAAAAATTGCACCATCAGTCATAACTCATTTCACAGTTTAAAAGATGGCCCTATAACGGATTTTTCCCTTGTTTCCTCATGCTTTCCCATCTCCCACTGCCTTCTAGCCTATGCTTGTTCTGTTGATTTTTTTTTTTTTACATGACTTGGACGTGGCCAACCTCTTTGATCTTCCTTTACATATCATTACATACCACAGCCAAAGCTGTCAGACACTGCTTATCATAACACTAAACAGGAGCCTAAACTTCAGAGAAACATTCCTCCTCACCCTGTTTAGAGCAGTTTTCTCTTTTAGTGAACCACCTCTCCAGAGTCACAGCACTTTTTTCATTCTGCATCTGCTGCTTCTGTTCATCACCACCAACTGTTCCAGTCAGATCTTTACACACCTGTCTGAACTGCTCTTTGTGATGCGGGCGCACAAACATGGTAAACCCTGCCAAAAGAAAATGCAGTGAAATGCATAGGGAAGTAAATGGCTGACTATGAAAGAGTGGTTATTTTGGAGGGAAGTAATTCTTTGGAAGATGAGCAAAATCATCCATAGTCCTGAGTATCTTCAGGCTTTTTGTCGTATTTAATAATCACCAAAGTTCTCCTTGCTAGAAGACAGATGAGTATTTAATACCAAAAACAATCTCAGCTTACTTGGAACTAAGAACTTACCACTGCTATAGCTAGCCATGAGACCTGCAATAGTCAGGAGAGCAGCGAGTGCAGTAGTCAGCACTGTCTTGTCTAAGAACAACTACTTGCAACATAATTGAGGAAGGAAAAAAAAAGTAATGAACTCACTTGACTGAAGTCAGCTTGACTGAAGGTTTAGACTGGAATTACTGATATGTTACTTAATTTTTTTTTTTTCCATGGAGAGTTTCCAACTGAACAGAGGTAACCTTTCAACCTCATTTTTTTTTTTCGTTCTCTGAATAGCATTCATTTACTACAGCATTCCTGCTGCTCCATTTATCTGGTTTGCCAGAGTAGAAGATGGAAGAGGGGATGTTTACCAACGCTCCAGGCAGTGGAGAATTTGTAACCTAACTACTGAGCAGGGAAAGGTTATTCTTCACACGGGATCACAGCACCTACGTATTATTTTCAACTGAAGGCTTTAAAATAACCCTTACTTTGTAGGAGATGAAAGTCTTCCGGCCTCTCAGTGGTGAGGGCTGCTACCACTGGTATCATAGCATCATAGTCGTCCGTCCTCTTGTAAGCCAGCAGCGCCTCATGGAAGCGGCTGTAAGCACTTTCCTTCAAAGCCTTTTTCACATCATTGAGGTAAGTCATCCTGAGGACCTGGTGGTGATCTCTCCTTGAACCCGACACATTTTTCATGTCTTTGCTCATAGCTTGACTGGTGTTTACCCCTGAGAGACAAAGAACACAGATGAGCAGCCCTCTCTGCTGTTTCTTATTCAGAGAGGGGTTCCTAAACTACTTAAAGCCACAGCTGCTTGCAGTCACACGCCCTGCTCAGATGTGATTTTGGTGCTCCCAGCAATGCCAACTGAACAAATAAATTTTTGGGAACCTCATTAGCATCTCCGGGAGTTTAAAACCTCTGAAATAGAGCAATGTGTGAAATGGTCACAGGGGAATGAGAAATAGATAACATGGAAGTGAGTGTGCACAGAGGTCAGCAGCAAATCAGGTTTCGTGCTATCCTTTAAAGGAGCACAAGCATTATAAATAGATGGCTTACCCAACTTCACTGGCCTGATACACAAGCAAGTAAACCTGACTGCAATTTTAAAGATGTTATTTCTTTTTCTAATACCAGAAGGAGGTGTCCTTTTTCACCCCCAATAGGAAAGCAAAAAGTCAAAAGAGACAAACCTACCAAAATAACAAAATAGATGATGCAATGAGACAGCAGCAGAGAAGACAGCTGTAGCTAAGAACATCTTGCTAAACTCTGAGCAGGCTTTTCTTTGTTTCGGGCAGGTTTTAGAGGAAAATTGTATGTTTTGCATATTAGAGGTACGTAAACACAGGTAAAACATATAAGCTGATTTAAATTAACCAACCACATATTTTGGTATTTAAATCTTTATCCCTCACAGCAGATAATGAACTTTTAAGATGGACTTCAATTTCTGGAAAAGAGAAAAAGATGGGTGTGACTTTTCTCTTTGGTAACTTCTCACAGGAGCAGACCCTACCCAGGGAGTGAGTCACAGAAATACTACATACGTTTATTCCTGTTATTTTCTTAATTGCTTTTAGCAGAAACAAACTGCTGTGCAGATCAATCTCACAGATTTCAGGAAAAAAAGAATAAATTACCAAAGATTATTTCATGCCAGAGTTCTTAAAATCCAAAATAAAACCAGGAAACTCAACAAAAGAAGTAACATGGCCTCACAGATGAAAAGCTTTCAAAGCCTTACAGGAATCTTTGGCTTTCTATTTTATTTTTTTTATTTTTAAAAAGAAAGGATTAGTCTGAATATTCTTTACTCTCTTAAGAAAAACATCTAAGCTGCCCAACTAATTTCCTTGTAAGAAATACAGAAAATTCCCAGCTGTTCTCAGGAAGATCAGTAATCACAACAGAACTGAGTCCTTGACTGCAAGGGTAAATACTGGACAGTAAGAGATACGAAGGATACAGGTAGAGATTGTGTGTAGATGTGAGAACATATTTACTGGTCTCCGTTTCTGCAGAAAGCAGACTGCCCACACCAGGATTGTATGCAATCCTCATAACAAAACAGGAACTGCATTTTGCTTTATACCTAAATTCAGACTGACCTCATCTAAAATTACACTCCCCAAACACCTCCTGTTCACAAAGCCTGGGCAAACAGGACATGCAGTAGTCTTGTCAACTCACCCCCTCCCTCTCTGAGAGGCATAGGTCAACACCTAGTGCAAACTTCTGTCCTTAGCTTCCTTTCACATCCACCTTGATGTGTTACTAACTTGTGTTTGTGTTGTACAGTCCTTGCTGAAAATTCTCAGTTACCCTCACTCCTACCTACAGACAGTGAGCTGGTGCTGGTCCACTGTGCTAGGTGAATACAGGAAACACTGGTTCCCATTGGGAGAATTTACAAGACAAAACATAACATGCAATACCTTAGGACTATGATTTTACTTAACACGAAGCATACCTGCACTGGTCTGGTCTGTTGTCAAGTGAAATCCTCCCTGGTTCAAGTGGAGCCCAGGATTCAGCTGAACACATGAATTCTCTGAGAATGTTGTTTTCTGCCCACTCCCTTTTTCTTCTGTTAAAGCAAACCTGTTTGTTAGCAGCGAACTTAAGGAAGAATGGAAATAGAATGATGTATTGCAAACTTTGTCACCCTATGCTGAAAACACTTGAAGTAGATGTATTTCTTTGTTTTGAGAGGATGAATCAACATTCTGCTCCTTTAGCTTTACTGCTGCAGGATTTCAAAGACTGCACCAGCTGTTCACAGTTCTTGTGGCACTTTGGGGTAGCAAAGCAGCCAGAGGAATGCACACAAGGCTTTGAAATCCATTGATTAGGTTTGAGATACAAACATCAGTAAGATGTCCTTTGGAAAAAAGATGGCACCATTACTACCAATGCAGTAGCCAAAGTGCAGACATCAGTGCCTGCTTGTGGCAGGCAGGCAGGAGGATCGTGCAACGCAGAGATGGAGCTTCATTTTGATTCATCAAATTTGCTTTTCACCCTTGCATTTTTACACACTGGATGCACACCACTCTACGATTAGACAAGGTCCAAAATTCCTCACCTATTTTCTTTGCCAGTCCCTCTCTCTCTTCCAGCAGGAGGCTGTGCTCAGGTTTGTATCCACAGCCCACCCCAGTCAGGTTGCAACATGCTTCATCAAACTGTTTTTTATGGTGAGGTCGAACAAACTGGTAAAATTCTTTCATTAGAGAAAGGGAAGAAGAATAAATAAATAAAACAAGAAAAAAAAAAAAATCAGCCCACCACACGTAAAAAATGCCACAGAAATTTATGATGGTAGGACTTCTGGGTTAGCGCAGTTAAATAACTTAAAGCCTAAATGTTGTTCTTTAGTATTTACGTAAGTACACTTAAGAGCAACACTGAGTGAAGTTATAGAGCAATTTCCAGCAAAGCTGTAGGTAATAACTGTAATTTTTCCACTGTAAACAGGAAGCAATTTACACATCATCTCACTTCACTGTAAAATGCCTACAGACCAAAACCTAAACTTCACTGCAAGTCAAATGAACTTTAGAATTCATGTGTCTGCAGCTTTAGAAAACCACACGTTGCCTGTTACCTTAATGTAGCAATCTAATGTTCTCTTATTTGTAGAGCAAGCAAGACAAATTGGGAAAGAGGTTGTGGCTACTATTCCCAAGTGCTCAGATTCCCACTCCCTAGCCTGACATATAGCCTTACTAATGCTGTAAGTTGTGTAACTGTGCTTTTTTTAATTTTATTTTTGGCAGATGAAGTAGTGACAGAAAAAATCTGCCCCTTTGCTCACATGTGCAATAAATGATCAGTGATGTTTTCAGATTCTCCCATCCTTATGAATCAGAATCTAAAATATAAGTTGTGTCATGTAAACATACCAGGGAACTCATCATACCTCGCAACAAGATATGCTTTTTTTCATCCTCTGTAAAAAGGGAACTCATTTGAGATAACATAGTATTGAAGTCAGCTGTGGTCCTGTAGTGCTGAAGAGCCTCAGAGAAGAGATTGTAGTTTTGCTGGCTTAGGGTCTTCTTCACTGTTGCAATGTATAAGGTAGCTCGGGCCTTCTTTGGCTCAGTTGGATCTGCTATCTTGCTGGCCAGCTGAGAAGACAGAAGGTTTTTCAGTAGACAGGATGAGGAGAGGAACAATCCTGCAGCATTCTTTACACATTTGAGACTTTCAGGAGGCAGAAGATATCTTTAACACAGAGTAATAATGACTGTGTGCCTTGGACTGCACACAGAACAATGCAATGCTTTCACATAATGTGTGACTCTTGTAATAAATGTAGCAACACAAGAAAAGCAAATATCCACATTCAAAGAATGGAAGGTGCTCATGTATTTCAGTTCCTCTAAAACATAGAAAACCTACACTCCTCTCTAGTTTTGGGAAACATTTATCCCCTATAATCACAAGCAGTAGGAACTTGAAAAAGATCCCAAACAAACCCTCCTTTATGAAAGTGCAGATCACAATGTTCTTACTCAGTTTCAACACGTGTAACTATGACCCCTGTCACGCATTTTCAAGTCATAGGGCAATCTTCTGAGGCATAAGTATACTATTAATTTCCCCAGATGATTATCATATCTATTCCTTAAACATTCCTAACATCTGTATCTGCTCTCTTGTGAAAGAAAAGCAATGATATTCATCTTCTCTGCTGACAAAACTGACTGCTTAGAGGAGCGCTTGTTAGAGAAGGTAGCCAAGTTTCATTTCACAATTCTATTCTTAGGATAAGGCTTATTAAGAGAAATGAGACTAGCTGCAACTTTCAGGGCCCAGCTGATTCATCATAACAACAAACCGTAAACACAACTTCCTGCAATGAACCTGTTCCCTTCCTCACACCTTGGATACCAGCACATCAGGATCTGTGACTACTCTATTAGTTCTGGATGCCAAGTGACTGTCAGACTCTGGCAGAGATGTTACCCAGTTGGACAGCACCTTCAACAACTACTGGCATCCACAATCACTTGGAATCCCCGTGAATTCATCATGGCTCTCAGGCAACAAGCTGCATTAGGATTTTTACCATGCTTTCCTCCATCCTCTTAGGAGACAACACAACAAAAATGCTCAACTGCTAACATGATGCACATCAGTGCACAACAGCTGAGGTCACAACGTGATCACTTACCCAAACCAAGCTGGTCAGTTATATTATTTGAGGCTCTGCTACCAATAAAAAAAGAACAAATCCACCCACCACACAGGGTGAATAATGAGAGGTGATGTTTGCAATGTAGTTACAGTCAAAGAACAATTCTTTGCATCTAACTCCACCTGAACCTTTGTGCTTGACTGGACTTGCGATGCCTAAATTTGAGAAAGAGCATGTCAGAAACAGATTTCAGATGTGCACTCATGAATAATTTAGAGAAAAAACTAAATTTGTTTTGGCATCAGCATCAGTCCATATCAGTCATCTGTCTGTCTGGAAATTTTCAATTCAAATGACAGCATTCTACATATCAAAAGGATGTCAGAGACACAAGAAAACACGTACTGGATTGCTGACCAGCTTTATTTTCTTCCTTCCTCCTTTCTGCTCATCTGTTAACCTCTTCTCATACTGAAGGGAAAGCGTTGACAGACGTTGTGCCTACAAAGATTAATTAAAAATAAACAAAAAGCTCTCCAAAATGCTTTTCAAAGTTATAATCCACTTAATTTAGCCATTTTCCAGTAGTAAAGCTTGTTAATCCAGCTTGTGACACCACTCAAAGTGAAACAAAGCAACCTAAATTATTGCAAAGGAAACTATGGCACTTACCTCCTTCTGGAAAGTAATGATCTACTGCACATTTCAGAAAGATAGAACCAAGTAGAGGAAATCAGAGACTAGATTCCTGATGAAACAAAGCTAAGCTTACAGCTAACTGTTTCAGGGCAGGCCTGGGAGGGTACATAGGTGTGGAACTGATGTCTCACACACCCCCTCACTTTCATGCCTGGAAGTGCTTCTCACTGAAGAAACTGTCATGACTTTTCTTGGGATACTGAGAAGCCCAAGCAGTCTCAAAGGAAATATCAGGTCAGATGAGATGAGACAGTATTAGAAACTATTAGAAACTCCTGTGGTTCAACAGGTTCTCCAGTTCCCCATTTCCAGTAACAAACAGTTGCACTTGTACAACTGTGAGTGGGAACACTGGCATAGGCAAAGCTCCAAAAGCTAAGTGCATGGGCATAAGCAACAGGTGTGGAATTGCTTAACAGCAGTCTCCAACATAAGTCAGTATCAACCACATTACAAAGCATTCATCTGAGTAACAGATGAAGCAGTGGGGTAGCCCCATATTGCCCACTGATTTCTACATACCTGTTGAGAAAGCAGGTACTTCAAGTGATTTATTTTTCTTTGCTCTTGCCCAATAAAGAATTTCTTAGTGAGTACGTGACTATCAGTCCATTTACAGAATAGCATGGTTTCTTTCTGAGAAGAACCAGTGAAACAACTGTACTCCACTGCAGCTTCTAAATGTTTGTTCAGATCATAAAGCTTCAGAGACAAACTAAATTAATCACACATAAAGCAATAAAAAATAAACCAAACTCCAGGCCAGTAGATCTGCCAGCCGCTGATAGTCAGAAATAGAGCCTTCAGTGCACTCCTAACACTGCAAGGAAAGTGAATTCCAGACATATCTGACCAATAAAAGTGACCATTTAAATATATCCTACTTAAGTATCATGCAACAGAACAAACAATACAAGCTGCAAGTCAAACATGCAGTTTGATACATGCAGTAAGTCAGAAAAAGGTCCAGATACCTATGCATTCTAATCCCAGACTACATAAGAGCTCAGTGTTTAATAGCATTGATGCAGAAGACATAAGGCTTCCACAAAGTATTTCTCACAAGGAAAAATAACTCTCAAGTCATTCTTTATCAGACTGAGATACTATTTCTTGTATTTTGATTTTTTTTTTTTTTGAGATGACAAAGATTTGTTTCCTTAGAGAGAAATTTTCCACCCAATAAAAACATTTCAGAATGACAGCAGCTTAATTTCAACATGTAGGGTGCAAGGGTACTGTGTAACTCTGACAAAAAAAAATACAGCTCCCATGATGGATGGTGAATAAAGCTATGAAAGCACAGACCATACTATCAGTCCAAGTGCAGTGGATAGTAAAGAGAGCTCAATACGAGACTTGTACCATGAACTCTGGCTCCTTCAGAAGCACTGCACATCTCAGCACTACGCTGCCAATTTTGGTGCAGCACAGGATGACCACACGTCCTTCTGGAAGCCACAAACAAATAGTAATACTGTACAGGAAGATGGACACGAGCTGACTCACTGTCAGATCATCAAGACCATCAGCTTACTTGACTTAAGGAAATCCTGAGCTAGACCAAAAGCAGTGCAGATGTGTAACAGGACACTCTTCTCAGGGTGACGAAGCCCCAGGAGATGTGCTGGGCTTTCCAAAGAATGAGTTCAGATGTCCATACCATATCATGACTAAGGTGCCCACGGGTGACAGAGCTCATTTCTCAGCTACACACAAGCAAAACAGTCTGTTTGTTTAAGCTTGTACATTTCATCCGTCACAAATCCATCTCCATTTATATCCTTTAGGGCTTTTTAAGTACTCCTTGGATATTCCTTACACACTCACACCTTCCCTTAGGCATGTTCCCCTAACAAACTGCTTAGGTAAGTTGTTCTAGATGTTTCCTGGAATCTAGTCATCAGTCAAACCTCACTTTTTTTTTTTTTTTTTTTTAAAGAGCTCTTTGCTCTCCAGACTGCAGTTAGCTTCCAGAACCTATATGGCCAGCAGTTATGAAGAACAGTCCAAGGATGTACCCATTGGTTGTCTAATTGAACGTGGCAAGGAATCTCTTTGTTCAACTTAACTATGAGAACCTGCAGATTCTAGAGCAATTAGTTTTTCCTCAAGAATGTTGAACTGGTGCTACAAAATCAATGCCAAACTCATTTTGCTTTAGAGACTACAATTTTTACTTATTTTTCTGCAACATCATCATTACCTTTTCCTCCCCTGGCAAACCATCATCTTCCTCCACCTCTTTGCTGTTCTTCTCATTGCGCTCCAACGCATCCAAAAGCCCAATACATTGTCTTCTAGGTGAGATCATTTCTTGTTCATATTCTGTGCAGAGGCTGGATGCTCCACCTCCATTTGCTGGCATTACTGCATAATGCAGATAATAAATTAACATTTTTGTGCTTTCTCTTGCATTTTCTTTGACTTAGCAATGCCTCAAAATCTTACTTAGCAATCCACAAAGATGTGTTGTTTTACCTTCTCTTCCATCTCTTGCAGAGCTGCTTTCTATGACTTAGGAAGAAGATTGCCTTGCTCAAACATTCCCAAAAAAATCTCTCTGGCATTTATTATCACAGTTTGATGCACAGATTTAAGTCAGGACTTCTCTCAAACTTCTCCTAAAGCAATATCAAATTTAATCTTGAAGTGGCTTAGGATAAATGGAAAACAATCTCCACTGCCACAGTTGTCTGTGTTTGAATACTACAATTTATGGATTTCCCTAAAAAAAACCCCAAGTTCCTGCTCTTCAATGACTCACTCATTAAGAAGTTCTTATTGTTATTTTTAAAGAGAACATAAGAGATGCTACAATCTCACAGTATTAGCAGCTATAAGACACAGCCACCACAACGTACCAAGAATACATATTCTCATTCTTCAAAATCCATGTGCAATTGGTTTTAAATATAAGAATATGGATCTATCAGTGGTGTTAAATTAGTATGTTTGCTACTTCAAAAAGGCTCTCTCTTCAAAACACATTTCCTCTACCTTGTAAAACGACTTACACAGAGTTGTTTACTAAGAAAAGTAATTGTTTTGAGGATCTAAGCATCTTTAGCTACAAATCAAAAATGCATAAGTAATAAGAAGCTGGTAGCCAAAGTTAGGATTACAAGTGTAGCTTGCTGTGACAGCTAAGAAGTGCCATCAAAAGCTTACACTGAAAGAGTTACATAATTAAGCTTTTTCCCTCTACCTTCATTTCAGTCACGTATTCCAACCCATCCTTCAGGATGGATCCACCATTAATGTGGATGAAAAGTAAACAGATGAGTAAGCTCATCCAAATTGCTCTGCAGCTGCACACTAGATGGATTCAACATAACTGCACAGATGGAAATTGAGGGAGAAAAAGGCAGTGGCCAAGACAACCTCCTTATAAATGACAACCTGCAGTCAGACTGGCTTAGACTGAAAGTGAAGTCTCATCCTCAGACTCAGTCTCACACTTAGTCACAACTTCTTTGGAATCAGTTTATAAACACACTTCATTGTGCAGTTCAGAAATAAAGCAAAAAAGGCTGGAACATTCTGAAACAATCTCTGATATAAAAAATATTATTTTGCATTAGCTAACTACAAATTTTAAAATACTGTTTTCTTTGAAGGCCAACACCTTCTTTCTGTTTTCTTACCCAGATCACTATGTAGGATTAACTAACTTCATCCAACTAAAGGATGGAAGAAATGATGAAAGCCAGTGCTAGTCAGAATAGAGTTCCAGTTTTTAATTTTTGAACAATTATATTCCACTAACTTCCTTGCAGGAGACATTCTCATGCCACACCTTTGTTCTGTAGTTGCAATTGGTACTCTAAATTTCCTAGCACCAAGCTATGTCCTTTCTGATCAAACTTTGACATTGTTCTTTGAGCCCTATGCATTTTCCCTTCTATCCCAGTTTCTAGTTCCTTACTCCATCTTTCCTGCTTTATCTTAAAACAACAACAACAGAAAGTTTATCTGTGATGACATCAACCTACCTATCCTTTTCCTCTTCAAACTAGGAACATGGTCATCCAAGATCTTGGCTTTCTGCAGGGAGGGGATCTGCTCAGATGAAGTAGAAGGTTCCACATCATTTTCACTCAGTGTAACAGCAGAGCCAGAAAGGCATTGTGCCACAGGCAGGGGCATCTGCAAGCAGTTTACAAAACGTTACAGTAGGCAAAAGCTACTTTTCCACTTCCTTTGCAACCAGAAATCCTGTCAATGACCTGAAGACATCATGTGTCCCAAAAACTCTTAACAGCAAGATTGTTTAACTGTTCTGGATTTTTGTGCTTTTGATGACAGGATCAAATAACTAGAAGTTGACACATACAGATGAAGTACAGCAAGCAGGCTTAGCACTAAATGACTCTTAGAACAGAAAAGGCACACACCACTGTTTAAGAACTATTGCTTCCTAACAGCACTCCTGCACATCACTCCTCCTGGCAAAGCACACTGGATTGAGGTTTCTATTTACGATTAAACTCCTATTTATCATCAGAAAGGATCATCATGTCATCCAAAAGTCTGAAACTTATGATTCTGAGCAACGTGTATTTAGTTAAAGTATCTTCCAGGAAATCATCCAAGTCTATAATGTTTATTTTAGTCTTAGTCTCCATTTGGAGCCCAAGGAATTTCTATTCTGGCTCTCAGCCCATTTCTTCCTACACCTTTCTTCAGCACATTACAAAGTCAAGGACTAATTTTTATATCAAGAAACTACTACTGAGAAAAAGAGCTTAATGCAAAGAGAGACATCATATTAGTAAAGATGACCCAGCCACAAAGTGTAATAACTTCTGGGTTTGTCTCACTCTTTACACCAGTCAGCTTAGATCTACATTTAAGGGTTTGACTGATTTTTTGTTGTATACAACTTCTCTCAGAGGGCCAGAAAGTTTTTTGATACTAACATCAGTTTCTGTATTTGTGTGCCATCCAGTGGAGACACTGTTTATTTAGGAGTGACTGGAAAAGGAATTTTTTGTGATCTAACCTAATGAGTTGTGCAACAACAACATATCCTGTCATAGCTCACTCATTTACTTCCTTTTCCACAAAACTTCCAACGATGCCCCAAAAAAAGGGTTGTTTAGAAGCGACTCCTTCACATCTCAGCATTTCTATTAAAAAAACCATTTTTTTAGCCTGTTTGCTTTTAAAAGATACTTGCCATTTCTTGAGCAACACGGAAGAAAACTGAGACACTTCTGACTGCATGTCCAAAGTTGTCATAAACGTTCACGTAAGGGCGGACCCACGAAGGCAGCTTGCCTCTTACATTCTCAGTTGTGAATCTATGTAGGAATAGAAAAGGAAGTAATTATTTGCCAGATGGCCTAAATGAATTAAACAAATGCTAGGACAAGAGAGGAACAGAAAGACAACAAAAGATTGAAACGGTGCAGCAAATATAATAGGCTGCACACAGGAGAAAAGGGCTTTGCTGTTACCACGTGTTATGCCATCACCCAATTAATATCACTCAACCATGAAATCTTTAACTGTGCAACAGTAGTACTGCTGGCCAACATCCCCTGTCAGGCCTCAGTATTGAAGGCTATCAGCTAAATTCCTGTTGCTTCAGCATTACAGTCTTTCCTCAGTTTCACCTTCTCCAAAGCTGCAGTTCTGGTGTCTACCTTCTCAAATGAGAGATGGATAAGATGTAAAACAAAGGTGGTAACAAATTACTTTTGTAAAGCAGTGCAGTTATCTTACACATTCAATTACTTATTAATTGTAGCCTTGTCCAAACAGAAACGCAAGCACACAAAATATGAATAGATGTGTTGGGATACAAAGATGTTGATATAGGTTTATATTCTAGAGCCAAGGTTTCACCTGTCATCACATAGGAAGATAGCACCATAGTCCTGGCGATGCCTGATGACCCTGCCAATAGCCTGGTTAACAGCTCGGGAAGCTTGCTGATTGTACCACTGATGCCCAGATAAATACTGCAGTATGTGGGAGAAAGAATTAATATCAGTCACCAGTAAAACATATTCTTTGTATGTAGTCACTACTTATTTCTAAATCACTTAAAAGTGTACCAATAAGACCTTCTGAAAAATCTCTAATAGCCTAGAAAAGCCAAATTCAGGTTGAATCAAGTATCACAGCTGGAACACAGAAAACTCATGTGGTAATACACAACTTGAGGAGCTACTTAATGGATGATGCACTCACTTCCTTGCTACTCAAACAGGTATTAAATAATACGTGAACCCAAGAGCTAACCTGCAGGATAATAAACTAAATCTATAATGCCATTCATTCTCATGCCTGAGACAATACCAAAAAGAAAAACCACCACACACAAACCAACCAGCACATACAATTCTTCTCCTCATCCTCTTTCTGCAAAAAGAAATACATTCAGAGACTTTGATCCAAATTTTAATTACACTGTTTTTTGAGCCGTATTTGATTGCAATTATGTCAGTGGAGAAAGAATTTGGAACCCTTAACATTATCAGAATACGTGAATATACTTGTGTCAAACTCCTAAGATTGTCTGACATTCATGATCTTATGAGGCTAGGAAGAAAAGCCAAAATCCAGAAACAAGAAGGGAAAAAGGCACAACAAACCTGCAAGCAGCCAAAAAGTTATAGCTGCCCACTATTACCTGTGCACCCATACTACTTTTTTTCATTTCATTCAGGAACTGCATCTTCAAAACAACTCTGGGCTCCCAACGAGGAGGAAATGGAAGGCCAGTAATGATGACTCCTCGTCCATTCATGTCTGCAAAGTCCAAGCCTTCACTGGCCTGAAGAGAGAGGGATTTTCATAATCAACAGGATTGGAAGTGATATTTCAGAGAACTTAAGCAGTTGTTGGAATTTTTTCCTCCATTAAATTAAGTCCCTAGCCAAGTGCAGTGAGTGAACACGTTACAAAGATTTTCAGCAAGATTTTTTGCTTTTATTACAATGACTTTAAATCTGGTATTTTCCTCTAGGAAGCCCTGAGAAATTATACCTCTGCCAAAACTATTAATTAATACATGTCTTATTCCTGGATAAGCAGAACAGCTGTATTCAGATGTCTCAAACGTCAGTCAGAACATCTCATTCAACATTCCAAACCCTTAATTGTTAACAAGATGAAATAAGAACATGGCAAACTTTCGATATTAAAAATAAACAAAAAAATTCAAAGCAGTCATTAAAAGCTACCAAGAACCTGCTCAGAAATCACAGACATTACCAGCTGTGAAGCTTATATCTTTACATCTGTCCAAGCAGCTGTCACTCACAGCCCTGTCTACACTCATGTCCCATGCTGTGCTGCCAAACTAGTTTGTGAAATAAATAAAAAACATGGAATTGAACAGACTGAATACCAACACATGAAAAAAAAGTTGGTTTGTCTTGTAGTTCTCCCATTTCATTTACCATACTGCACAAACAGCTGCAATAGAATCTATGGCAGGGATGAGTGGGTGAAATGACCAACTCTACTCTGCTTAAACCAGCACCATCACAGTAAGAGCAGCCACAGCATGTCTTTGGCAATGTAACTCTTGGTTTATTTTCTCAGATGTTTCTAATTTTGCATTCATACTATTAATCCTTCAAGTACAATAAACTGTCTGTTCTTTAATGTGCTACTGCAAAGCACTCTCCCTCCACAGATGCTACTCCTCTCAGAGTGATACACTGATGTTGAAGGACATATTCACTAGAATCCTGCCCATAAAGAGTTACATTTTTTCTTAATTGATCCAACAACTATTCTGAAAAAATGCACTGAAGGCTTGGAAGAAGATGAGTTTCCGTTGGTAGACAGTAGCAGAAAGTCAGAGTGATTTGCAACATCACAAATATTTCCACTGGTATCACAAATCAATTTATCAACACTTAAATGAAAGGCCACCACATGCATCCAGAAGACTTGAAATTAATGTTCATCTTAAAAGTTGAGCAATATTTCTGGTTCTAATCAGTGTCGTTCCAACATGCACGGTCACAATTGTTTCTTTTAGTTCTCCTCCAAAATTGTTCTCATCTCATGAGTCAAACTTTCTGTTCGTAGCCAACAGGAAATGTAAGTATCATGATGCTCATCCCCTTTAGAGATGTATGTCTTTAATAAAAACAGGAATTAAGCATACATATACTTGACATAAATTTAAAAAGGCTTCAGGGCATCCAACTTCCCCCCCCCACTTGGCTATGGTTACACAACACAAACATCTTTGTTAAATTCAAAATGATACGTAATCTGATCACAGATAAAATAAATTCTCAGCTACATTACCTTCCCTCGACACACTGCCAAAAAAGCAGCACCATTGGATTTAGGACAGGCAATTTTACCATAGTATGCATCCATTACCTAAAAGATAAAACAGGGTTAATACAAATTTTGCTTAAGCTATCTCCATAAATCTCAGCAAGTATAAAAGATTGATATCAGATACTTCTGAAAAGAAAGTAGACCCATGGACTGTAATGTATTTCTCCAAATCCTAGAACAAAATATGGAAACCAGGAAAGCAGTTTAAGGATGTTGAACTCCTAGAAGCATGCAGAATGGCTATAAATAAGAAAAAAGAAAGCAAACTGAAAATTTAAATAATTTAGAAAGCTACAATGGGACTCCGTATAATAATCAACAGCACATGATTCAGAGGCAAGCAGACAGCACTGTAACATTCACTGGATTTCATATGAATACTAAACAATGCACAGTTAGGTGGAAGAGTAATAGAAAACATAGTTCAAAGAAGCTCCCAAACATTTTAATTTTATCCCAGGAACGTGAAATTAACACCCAAGCACAACTCAGAGAGGTACTTAAACATCACAATAGCTTGCAGATGTGCTACAGGTATGTAGTGTAGATTCCCTACCTCTGCAAAGCTTCCTTTATTCCTGGGTTCCACAAACATTGGCTTCACTTCTTCTATTCTCTTAGCAAAATCATGCTCCTGTTGAGCAGATAATAACATATCAGAAATGCTCATGTGAAAGCAATCATCTACCAGAAATTCCCATGAGAAAGGATAAGCTCAGACTTCCCCCACCATCTGCTCCTCTCCACACAAAACACATGGAGATGGGGGCAGAAACATTTTTAATAAGCATGGTTAAATAACATAACTGCAAACTGTCTGAAGTGTGCAACCAAACCACCTATAAAGGGAAAACAATTAACGTACTCTCCAATATTCCAGGCTCTTATCCATGACAGGATATGATGGGAAAAATACCAACAGTCCATGAGGTACAACTCGCACAAGATTACCTGCAACAAGATAGGCAAATGAGTAGTTCAGGGCATTTTTCTCCTGGCATGGATTGCATGGACTGTGCAGGAAAAAATAAGCTAACAGCATGGCTTATCTCCAAAATCTCTCCTGCTTTCTCAACATGAAGGTTGGTGCCTCAGGACTTTTCTTTAAATCCTTTCAATAATCTTGTTGTCAAGCAAGAACCCTAGACTTTGGTGTTGCTAATAGCACATTTATCCCATAAATGCTACACTTCTGAAACCCACTTATAGCTTTACAGGTTTTCTAAAGCGTCACGTTAACTGAATAAAACTTATGAGTACATCAAAGACTAGGAAAGGAAGAGACAACACCATCTGCTGTATTTTCCCATGTGACAGTAGGATCTATTTTCAGATTTGCTTTTCTTTTCCAAAGAACGGAGAATGGAGAAAACAACAAGGGAATTTAAACATTCAGAACAAATGAAGTGCCTCAAGCCTGATTTTGAATCTTTACCTGTCATAGTATATATTGCACTGAGAAATCATTCAACTGTTATTTTGTGAAAGCATTTTTCTAACTTCACCACTGAGGCCACGTGGAACAACTCAGAACTCTCTCCTTCTTTTTGTTCTCTTTCTTCAAACTTTCATAGATATAAGATTCCTTTCATACCACAGCCAGCCTACACAGACACTTGTGTTTTATTCTGTTCTCACACATTAAGTTTCATAGTTCTATTATATTTGTAAAACACAATCAAAATAAATGCTGAATTAAGATCAGCTTGACAAACTGCATTCACATGCATCACATGAAATCCTATCAGCTTCTTGTGATCCTTAATTGCTCTGCGAAGTGATGCTTGGCAGCATAATCTGTGCTTCTATTTTCTAGCCTGCACTGCTTTCTCACCACATTGAAGGACATTTGTGAACCAGAGATAAAGACCTGACAATAAAAGTTAACTCCTAACATGGAAATATTAATCAAACTGATTTTCATACATCACTACAGTAGCCATCTGCTTGAGCTAACAGGAGCATATAAAAAACAGATAGTACTTAGATACACAATGCAATCTTTTGCCTTTCTCTGTCTTACCATTTGTTTCCTTTTAACATTTCAGAAACCTTCCAATTTCTAAAGATGCTGTGCAGCAACCTGTTTTTGAAATCCATACCCTTCACTTACCAATGGTTTTCCCCAGAGAAGATAAGTAGTTCTCTGAAAATCTACAAAGAAGAAAAAAAAAACAGGTGATATTCACTCTATTTTCTTCTGTACATTTCTCATGCATCTTGACTTCCCCTGATATTGATCTGAAATAGCACATTAGTAAGCTCCCAAACACCCACACCAAGCAATACTGTGACACAGTGATACTATTACTATCAAATCTTATCGCTGGCAGTCAGATGAGTTTATGATTAATACTAACATATTAGAAACACAAGTTCTGCAAGAAAAGTCCGATTAGTAGTAGAAAAGTACATTAGTCTGTGAAGCCTGACTAACGTTACAACAATTTAAAATAATTACAGATAAATTAGGTGTGGTGAGGCTGCAGGGGCAAAAGGGATGAACTTGGTTGCTATGGTTATTGTTTACTGCAGGTATAAGCACAGTGAATCACTTAATTTGATTGAAAAAGTACTGCTCCACAATGAGCAGCATTTATCTGTTTCTTCCAGCCCTGATAGACGTATCACCTGTTCTCTCATGCCCTTATGATTCTTTCTTTTCAGTTCCATGCAGTTTCTCATACTTAGTTTTCCCAGGAAGCTCAAATACTCAAAGAAAAAAAAAATCCACATATATGAAAGCTATGAATATCAGTATCACCAAACAGCTGCTGTCAAAGCATAACTAACACTGTGCATTCCCTTTCTTCAAAGTGGTGTTTTAGGCCAGAGGCAGGGAAATCCCCAACCCTTCCTCCTTGAAAGACGTTATCTTCAACAAAATACACTGAAACTAAGCTTCCACAAACAAGGAACACCATCTGAGGGCCTTCCAGGCTTCTTTATCTTCTGTCAAAATCGTTCAGAACTGTTGAGCCCCTTTCCTCTTCCACGGAACATCTGGCATGCATCTATTTCATGAAGTAAAAACTCTTTGAAATCTATTCTTGGATCATTCTATTGCTGAACAAGAGTAAACTGGGCCAGGAAGCAGGCAAAACTCTATGATTCTCAGCTAGAGGTACAGATATAATGCTGAAACTGGAAGAGCCAACACAAACAATGAGGAAGAAAATTAAATGGAAGAACACGTATATATACACACAAGGATATCCTCATTTCAAAGTACCACAGAAGGAGTGGAATCTAAAACAATAGTGGCACAAAGGCCTTGGCACTCTTTAGTACCTTCAGAGAATTGGTAAGCACAGAAACATTTGGAGGGCGCAAAGCATGAAAATACCTCTTAAAATAATATGCTGAGATCTCAATGAGAACAACCTATTAGGGAATAAAGTCAGTATAGAATGAACTTATGTGTTTTAGCATTCCTTGCTGGCACTACTTTTATCTCTTTTACAGAAAAAGCAGAAAGAACAGAAAAACAAGAAAAATTGAAAGACCAGAGAAAAGAAAGACAACCAACGATTTGGATGTGTTTTCCTTAAGAAGGCAATGCAGAGGTGAAAGGCAGGCCAATTGTGATGACAATCTTTAAGCATAAAAATATTTGTTACAAAGGCCAAGTCAATTGAGCTTCCAGTAAACTGAGGATGAGGGACTATGGCAGCACGGGGAGGCTGCTCTGTAACATGAAGGGAGCTGGGATGTGAGGATGATCTGAAGGAGGGGACCTGCCACATCACAGTAAGCAAGTAGGAAAGACTCATGGTTCAACCATGAGTTCAGACTGTCAGATAAAGTCTGACAGGTGTCAGTCAGCAAGTCAGAGTCAGATCAATAAGGCTGAGTGTGGTTATAACAGAGCCAGAGACACTTCTACAGCAAGTGCAACTCCTGAGCTCACTTCTCAGATGAAAATGTTTCACTTCTGATCTGTGGGGGATTTCCCATGTGAGGCCAGTCAGGGGAATTAAGGACTGTTACTGCACTCAGTGCCCTGATACTCACTCCCTTCCAGCTCTCTACTTCTAAACTTCCTACAGTAGTGGTTAAAAGGGTTTTGTTATCCATTTTTATCCATCCAGTGTTTATCCATGAAAAGAACTGCAGAGACCACTGATTTCTTCAGAACCCAAGATGTGAGAACTGAAGGTTTCAAAGCAGAATTCCATTACCTTCTCTCATAAGTAGAATTGAGCACAGCTCCATCAGGTCCTTTGGGAATGATTCCAACCCAGAGCTGGCGTTTATCAATAACATGAGGATTCTCCAAGAGAACAGGAAAAGGGCTGAAGAAACACAAAAGTGAGACTGAACTCATAAGCCCTCTATGATTCTCTACTAGCTACCAGACCAGAACACTCAATTAGATCATTAAATTTCCAGTAATGTCACTGTTCACATACCCAGACACTTACATCTGCATTTCCATTGTAAACGATGAGAGAGGGGAGAGAGTCCCACTAGTAAGGATAATTGTCCTGACTCCCTGTCGAACAAGCTCATGCATGCTATATCCAGGGCTGAAACACCAATAGCTTAAGGTCTTTCCTGTACCAAATAAAGAGAAAATAAAAAGGCATACTGTATAGTGGAAAAATAGGATATGACTACCATCTAGCAGCATCCGAACCTCTAAAACTAAAAAAATCTTGGCATATGAAGCTAAAATCCCAGGTGTACACATGTTTTCCTTTGGTCCTTCCCAATTTATTATGGCTATTCAAAACAATTTAAGAAGCCATTGCTCAGTCATACCTTTAAATAGATTCTATTACAACAGAATCACGGAATGGATTATGTTGGAAGTAATCTCATCAGCTATCTCAGGCTACGTCACTTATCCTCACTAATCACAGTTTGTAGATAATTATGCTCAAGAAAGTTATTTCTGCAGAACCCCTTGAAAACAGCTATTCTTAAGAGGTTTGCAGAATTTCCATAAAATATGCTACACAACTACAGAAAAACTGGAGATCTGATCAGTCACCTCTGGCCTCTGCCAGGTTTACATATAGTACAAGTCTCAAGATATTGCTAAATGGTTACGTAGGTACTTGCAAGTAGTTTTTATTTTAGAAGCAGATATCCATATGTTTGATACATCACAGAAGAATGCTGTGACTGCTTTCTATTATTTTTATTTACAAATCCTCCAAATTATGCAATAAATCTAGTGCTTTTGCTAGCCTTTCCCTGCACACTTAACAAAATCCACTTATAATTATTCCTGTAACTTGATACTCTGATTGAGCAACATCCCAGGAAAACAATAGATGCAGAATAACAATCAGCACGTCCTGTTGCTCAGAAAAGCAAAGGGAACATGTATTTTGTGGAAACATTTATGGGGACATTATGTGAAACAAGCACTAAAATTGGGGGAAAGCATTCTTTGAAAAACATTGCTTTAGTCCTTAACAAAATGACTTCCGTAAAACAAATACTTACTTTCCTGAGAGTATTTAAATGAATAATTAAGTAGACATTTACAAGGCAAAGTATTTACAAAGATCCTTGGAAAGCATTCCATTAAGAAGGCTTAGATAAAGGACATCCATCTCTCTTTAATAAGAGAGGAGCTGACTTGGGTTCATACAAAAGCTGGGTTAAAACAAGTGTGAGCTCTGTACCTTGTTTTTTTGCAGCTGATGAATCCCAGAGATCTGTCCTTTCCTTCTTCTTCTTCTGATTACTGTTATCCAGATGAATGTGTACCTGAAGGAAAATAAGAGCAATGCTCCTAGAGACTGCTGCAGAAATGGATTTGCACTTCACCCCAACTCCCAAAAACTAGCTCATGATAAGGAGCACAATTAATGTCATTTTATAGTGACACTAAGGTCGTATAACTTCCTATCTGCCTTTCATGTTTTGTTTTCAGTGCATTTAACAAGGAGCAAAGCAGCATATAATAATTTAACCATCTATTTTCAGTCAGTTTATGGAACCAGAGTTTCATTGCTGGCCCTGAAATTTCACCTAAGCCTCATGAAGAACTCCTTCACAAATGAAAATACAAAATCTGAGTAATATAAAAGATGAGTTTGCCAGGAGAACACAATACTTCTTGTAGAATTGCAACATTTTCAATAATTCACATTTTCTGCACTTTCTTTATTACGTTTTAGATTTTAAAAAAGAAGTTCCTCAATAAATTACTGCATAGGTCCCCTTTTTTCTGTGGGACCTAATTTAACTACTACTCTTCTTTTTCTGGAGGAACTTACATAACCCTGTCGTAATCACACCACAATTTGCTATACTATCCACATCCCTCTCAGTCTTGAATACATAAGAATAGACATTAAATGCTATCTAGGAAATATGCAGAACAGAAAGCATTTCATACCTTATAATATCTGGATATCGACTGAGGTGGCACAAAACTTGTTGTGTCTTCTGGAGGATCAACGTTGAATATAGTCTAGGAGAAATGACATAATGACATGGAAAGATCAAACAACAGTTACCAACAAAATTAACATACCTTGGCTCTGAGAAGTCTTTCCAAAAAAATCAATGTAGAGATAACCTTAAATACATCTCCTTGCTCCTTTTATTCAATAAGGTAATTTTGAACACATTTTTACAGGCAATTCTTGCTAACTGGTCCTCATTGCTCCGAACAATACAAGCCTGAATCTAAATATATTCAAATTATATCAATGATAGTATCACTATTCACACCATACCTGACTCCTGGTTGCTCAAGAACACAAGCACATGGCATGGTTGTGAGATCACAGCCACAGCTGTGTATGCAAGAACTTTTGGAATTCCCTTAGCTGAAAATTCCAGCTGTGGTATTTTACCCTAATAACACACTGCCTGGAGAAAAAAAATCAAGTTGTAATTGCATTTGTTCATCCATATTTTACATGAAAAGCTTCTAAAAGCCCCACACAAACGTAGAACAGAATTGTGCTTCCTTCCCTTTCCTGTACTTGATGTCTTATGACTAAAAGGGATGCAGTTTCAAACATACAGCTTTCCACGAAAACAGCTGTGGGACTCAAATATTTATAAATCCTGCTAATTTTTCTAAACAGAATTTCTTTAGACATTTAAAATGAATTCTGAAGCTCACAGGAATATCAGCCAGTTAACAAGAAAGATGTTCTCCAGTAGTAAGAAGAAAACAGAAGTACAGTTCCCAGAAAAACACATTTCTGAAAAGCAGTCAGGGACAGGGTATGAAACAGGATTTCAGTAAGTATTCTAAAAAAATCAAAAAAGTGATTAGTAATTAAAGGAAAAAAAAAGCTGTCAATAAATTAACTGTTGAAGGCAAAGCCCTGTAAGAAGGAATTGCTGTATTTTAACATGGAAGACATTGACTGTAAGCTAGAGACTGAACACTGCCACCCATTGTCAGTCTCCATACTTAAGGGTTTCCTTATCATTCAGCCACTGATGCAGTTTTCCATAAAGAAAAACCAACCAATAGCAACAACAACCAAAACAAAACATCACCAAGCCATGACACATAAAACCAAGACAGAAAAGCAACCTGCAATATACATTAAAACTAATCTACCTATTAAAGACTGACAAAGAATGATCCTTATGATCCAGAAGAGACAAAAATAATTGTCTTGGTTCACTGCTGGGAAAAGATCTAATTCAACCTAGTGATCTCTAGTGACTCAGATACAGGCTTGAAAAAGAATCACCAAATTCTGAGAATACAGCTGTGCTCCAAATGGGTATATATATCCCAAATGGCAGATTTCCAGATGTGTAATGGTACAGCTAAGATGCTATTCATTTGAACATTAAGCTCTCCAAATGTTATTACTCCATATTTGAGTACCATCCAAGTACATCAGAACTGGGGTCAGCTTCAGAGAGAAGCCAGAAATTGAACTTCAGGCTCACTGTACCCTCTTAATCTACAGGGCTCAGGTTCTCATAATCAATGTTTTGTAAATGCACAGCAGAGAGAATACTGTCAGCAATGCATGGATGCTCACACACTTCCAGTATTACATTCAGTTCCTGTGGCACAAAAAGGATTTTTATTTTACAGATCTCCCGACTTAATCATTAAGTGAAAAAAAGAAAAAAGCAGTTAAAGTAATCTTTTATTTGCTTTTTAAAAAAAAACTTAGTCTGTGTCTTTTTTTGAGAACTCACATTCCCACACACTGATGCATGAACGTGCACAGCCCAATAACCCAGCTCCACCTGGTGGAGGCTAAACCCAGACAAAATTCAATCTAGCTCACCACAACAGGACATCAAACCTACAAAAATAACAACCAGGGTAAAAATCAAAGCAGGCTGCTTCATTAGGCAACAGCTTTCTCCTCTAAACCTGTATATTTCCATCGATGCACAAATATATATGCAATTAAAAGAAAAAAGTGACACTGAATGCTTTTTAAGCCAACTCTTCTATATTTCAGGCACCTGCAGCAGCTGCATTAATTATTTACCTGGATAATATCTGAGAGTTTATGCAATCCTGACGTATTGATGAATATCCCAGTGCCTACAAAGAAGAACATAATTACTTTTACAATACAAACATATGTATTGCTGTGTATGCACACCTGAACAACACAACGCCCTGCAAATATAACTTGGAAACGTTATCTGAAACAAAATGACTTATTTCAAGTTCTCATCATTATTCAAGATGAAAGGAGAAATATAAAACTTGCACTCCAAGGTAAGTTCCATGTTTCTGATGCATTAAGCAGCTATAATAGTTACATCTATTTCTTCAGTCTCATCTACATTAAAAACTGGGAAGGAGATAGTTAAGATTAGCATGCATAAGCTATATGGTTACATTTTCAAGAGTTCAGACAACTAACATCAGTCTTACAAAAGAAGGAAATTGTGTATCCTGTTACTCAGGGACAAAAAGCAAGCTTTGCTACAGCTGGAAGAGCCCCTTACAGTCACCCCACGCTTAAATCAGTGATTATAGAGGAGCAAATAGAACAACACACAAAATACACTGACAGTGAGAATTTGACCATGGAAATGGCAAAGATATGCATTTATTAAGCCAGAGAAAGATGCTGGGAGGAAAAAGGGAAGGATAGATTTGCCCACAAAGAATGCATTTGCAGAAATTATCATCTATATTCCACGCTCCACAGGGAGAGCTTGCTCTTTTCATTGCTTTCACTGAAGAGCCAGCTAACAAGAATGAGCTTTTAAGCAGACATGACAAATTATTTTCTTAGTACATGTCAAAGTTGGACCTGCTTCCTTGCAGAAGAGCTAATTAAGAACAAGATGCTGATGGACACTAGAACAGAACCTAGTTAAACCTAGAGAAGATCATTAAGCAGCTCCCAACATTGCTATCGCATAAATCCATGACTCAAGAAGAGTCCAACACACAAAAAGCACCATCAGTAAAATGTCAGCAAGCTCTCCTCACACATTCCTTCTGGTTTTGTAGAAGAATAGTGTTACGTGCAAAAGTCCCCTAGGTGTGCATGTGAGCATTTACTGCTGTGTTATGCACAAGTTTTGACACAATACTGGCTCTTAAAATAAATTCTGGTTCATGAATGGACATTTCCCAACAGAGGACCTAGCAACAAAATGAGACTGTTCCTCAGGGTCAAAATTTTTTATTTTAAGTGTTAAATCCAAAGATGCCTTTCTCCACTTCCCCCAAACCACTACAAGCTTTTGATTATTTACATTAGAGAAAAAGTCCAAGTGAAATAACTGACAAATTTACAGACTTACGGCCTGAAAGAAACTGTAAGATCTGCTCTAGTGACTCCAGGAGTGAGGCTTTGGTTTGGAACGTTATTTGGGCCTTTGCAAACAGTTCAAAGATATAGCTGCAATTCAGAAATAAAAAAACCACAAGTGGGTAAACACTAAACAATCGCATGGACACAACTGGTACTACTCTTTTACAGCAATTTCACCATCTAGTTGCAAAACATTCTCAACTCAGTAAGAAAGAAAAAATGATGGGAATGTAAATATTTCCCATCAAAAACAATGATTGCTACATAAGGTGATTTAAGAAAAGCTGCACCCCTGAATAAGCACTATTCCCAGGAACTAGAACATTACTACTAACCCTAACTGATAAATCCTTTACACAGTGACATATTTTTTGTTCCACTGCAGGTTTGTTATGTGAGCACACAGAAGTACATTCATAAGCAAAAAGCTCACACTAAATTCAATTTAACCTGGGTTCAGAACTTGTTATTCTTCTAACATGCAAACACGTTAATGAGAAGAAACTCACCTTCCATCTTTGGTGACTCCACTGTCATTTGGTGGCAGCTCCACTGCATCAATTGCACTTTCTAGCTGAAGAAGAATTTCTTTAAGGGAACCAAAAGGAAAAAATAGTTATTGTTCATAGAAACTCACTTCAGGAGCTCATCTGAATCCCTTTTTCAAATGCAATTTATTGCAAAGGCTGCCATTTAGGACAACAATTTAGCTGTTTTCTTGATCCTGTAAACATGCTAAAATGATTAAAGCCAATTTCCTAGACGTAGTCCCTAAATATTTGCATTAAACTTTAACAAATTCTATGACCTCAACCTATCACCTCTTAGATTAAATCTGTGGTACTCACAAAATACAGTTGCTAACTAAATATTGAACTCTTCTCTATAGATGGAGAAAGCTCTTGGAAATGCTTTGCAAACAGACATCTCAAGCCCTCGATACAATCACTACAAAGCATCACCTTCTTACAGCAGAATGATGCAACCAATACATTGGCAGCACACTGATAACATTACAAAGTGAAGGAACTTCTGGCAAAGAGACAAGGGATACATTTATCTGCCAAGTCTCACCTTCCAGGGAAGTAACTGCAACTAAACATTCCACAGAATTCTCTGAAAAAGAGACTTCTATGAATGACTCAGTTGTTAACAAAAACACTGTACGTATCCAATTATCTAGTTGCTGACCAATTAGCCTTTTGAAATAGTTACAATAACAATTTTTAACAACAACAACAAAAAGAGAACCTTACTCTTTATCTTTGCTATATCTTCAAGTTCCATGTTCAGCCCTGTTGAAGTAAAGAAAGATTTTAAGGCATATGTTTCACATCTGTTTCGTTTCATTCCTAGTTTCTTCAAGCCTTCTCAGAAATTATCAGAGTGGAAGTCAGCACTATGTACATAGAAAAACATTGTTTGTATTCACTGTTCCTTTTCATGACTATAACAATAAGAAAGATCAATAGAATGGTGAGACAGGAAGCATAATGACAAAGGGACTAGTGCAAAGAAAAGGTGCTACAAAGAAAAAGTGCTCACCTGTCTCTGATGATTTGGGCTCACAGGGAAAACTCCACAAAAGGAGGGATCTCCAACCAGAGATCCTTCCCCAGTGGCAGTCAGCCCCGAAATGAGGTCTAAGAGAGATGCAGCCAGGCTCCACCCCTGCCTGTCTCACAGCTGAATTGCCTTCACCTGTGCTCCCATGATTGATCAGGTCCTTTCCCCAGGTGCTCAATCAGTGGTTTAGGCCGTGACTCAACAGTTCCTACACACATGGCATTTTACCTCACATTGGTTTGACCAAAGACTTTGTGTTTGTCTGATATTATTAATAACCAATCACCTGGAAATATTTAGTTTCTAGTTATATTTCCCAATAAAACAGTGGTTTGTGGTTGCCAACACACCTGAACTGATGCTCTCCATATTGAATTCAGCATTTACTTCATTCTGTTGAACTACTTTGGCTTGTTCTTCCAGTACTACATTTATAACATCAATTGCTGAAGCCAAATCGTAGGCTGTCAGATCAAAAGAAGATGACTCTTCACACAATCTTTCCTAAAATACCAAGGAATGGAAGCATTATTTAGACTGTATGATGTGTTATTTGGTCAGGTGGTTTCACAGATGATAACGTATAGATGAGCAGACTTGAATTCCTTTCTGTTCTCCAAGCACAGGCTGGAGGACATTTTCAAATACCTTAAGCCTGTGACTTACCCTGGGCATCTTTTTTTCTGGAACACAGAAAATGTTTGCTAAATACTACTCTTTTTTTTTCTTTTTTTTGCATTATCAAAAATGGTATCATATCCATCAGGCAGCAAATCAGAGTCATCAAAATCTCTTTAGGCTTTAACAGATATTACATCAGTGATCATACAACCATGATAAATGACATTAACAAAGGACACGGTTGAGTGCAGACTTTACAGATTACTTGTCATACAATACTGGTCTGTATTTTGTTTTGGATGATGTTTGAGAAATGGCAACAGAACAGAAACAACTTACCACATTGTGAGCTTCATCAAGTATTATCACAGTCCCCTTCAGCTCTATGTTGTGAGCTCGTCTGCTCTAGAGATGAGAAAGAGAATGAGGGAACACTTACGAAGATTACAGCTGACACTGTATTAAAGAAGAAAATATTTCTACCATACTAGGATTTACCAGTTAATCAGAATTAATCTCACTCATCATTTTTGCCAATAGGGATTTGGGAAGAGTGAGGTGTAAACCAGGGAGATTTAGCTTGTGGATTATTTTTGTGTTGTTTGCTTTTTGGATGTTTTATTTTAGCAAATTTATTCTTGTGACATCTGTATTGTGAGCTGATGCTCTGAAGACATCCTCAGCAACAAGATATCATCTAACTTCACAGTGCTTCCTTGCTTAAGGTGGTCAGAAGTTTTTGTTAGATTTATTAAGCATTTGGTCTTTTTGCCTCTTGCAGTAATGGAACTTAATCCAGCTTCTACTACAATTCACAAATAAAACAGGTTGCAAGAAGATGTTAGCAGATCTGTTTCCTCAGCAAAGTTTTCAAAGGTTTTGGTTTTCTTATCTGTGAAACACTGACAATTTATTGCAGCAGCTTTTTATAAAGCCAGCAGCAATGTGCAAGAGCTGTCCAACCTCTACTGGAATGGTTCACGTTCATTTTACAAACCATGTTGGTCACTGCAGAAACAAAAGTTTCTCAAAACACGTGCAAAGCCACTGCAAAGTGTGCTACTGATGGTTTGATTTCAGGAGATAAGTATAATCAAACAAAGACATCATATTCTGCAAAGTTAATTTGAGCAAGACCTCAAAGAAAACAACACAGAAAATATTTGTTAACTGTGGGAAAGTAAAACTAAACAGAGAAAACCACAAAAGGGCATCCCCTGATTCTGAACTTGAAATGAGTTTTGATTATTTTTGAAGCACAGCACACAATACACTTCCTTGCTATGCATCTGTTCTCAACAGCTCATCTGCTAAAAGTCAACTGAAATAAAAATAAGAAGATTGTATTTAAAAACAAAGATACCTTTGCATCCAATAAATAGTTGTAAGGCATAAAAATAATATCTGCCTGCTGCTTCAAGCTTCGAGAGAGATAATAAGGACAAGCTCTGTTTAAAAAAAAGTAGCACAGGTTATAAAGTAATAGTTGCAGAAATATTAAGAGTGCATTCATCATTCATGTACTGTTTCATGCTCTCGGTGGTTTCTAGTCAATTTCCTAATGAATTGGAACTGACGTGTTTGATTTTCAGGCAAATAGTTCTATCCATGCAACACATGTAACAAAGTGCAAAAAATAATGCCTATCAATGCACACAGCTCAGCTATTCTTTGCTGCATTACACTTTTAAACCCGTAAGCAAATGCTGGGCTGGGCTATTTTATCTCAATAAATCAGTCATATCATTCTCTTAAATCTGAAACAAAACTGCAACGTTTGTTACATCAGATGACATTAGAAGCCTCTACTCAAGCAAGAATTAAAATACTGGTAAGGAGGAGTAAGATCAGAGAACATCTACCTGTGCTTGCTTCCATTTTTAACCAAGTCTTCAATATCCATGATTGAATCCATCAGTCCTTTCTCTGTAGACTTCTCTGTGAACAGTTATAACAACCAGAGGCTTAAGTGAAGGTAGGCTTAAGTGAAGGACTTCTTGTTACCCTGGTCATCACACTTATCCACTTCTTAACATTTTGTTCTCGAAAAACATGAATGCAGAGCACAACACACACACATATATATGCATACTACATACAAATGCACACAGACTCTGTCTACTGTTTCAAACTCCTCTACCTGCCTAGCAGACAACTCCCTCTCCAACAAATGGGACTTTATTTCCACAGCCAAACTCACCTTCCACGTTGTTATAAAAATGACAAGCACGAGCCATCACTTTCTTTCGGCACATATAGATCTGCAAAATAAAGTACTTTTTAGCACAGCTTGTCAAGCACTGTGAAGTGAGCTAAGAGATCAAGAGCTATCCATTATCCATAATGCCACCTAATGAATAAACACAGGCCAGGGTTCTTCAGTTTTAAAATCAGGCATCCTTCTATTCCCCAGAGGTTACATTCTGTGTGTGTGTGTGCACAGAACACTCACATGTTTGGAGGAAATTTGCTTATATTTTGCTACATTTTTCTGAAGAGCAGTTTTTGACATTACTCATAAAAATAACAGGTAAAGCAATCACTGAAGCATTATTTTCAAATGGTTGTTGTCATTAAAAAACACTGAAGTGCAGACCTGAATAAACTGCAAGCTATTAATCACCTCTCATGTTCTACACAATCACATCCTCCTTCAAATGGAAAATGCTACCAAAAATGCCAAACTAAATTTTGCACTAAAATATGGCAAGTTCTACAGAACTCATGAAAAAAAAATGAGTATCTTTCACTACAGCCTCCAGTGATAAAGCAACACCAGGCTTAAGAATTACACATTTTATGTCAAAATAAAAAACAGCCTAGCATGTTCTTGTTACACGTTTTCAAGGCTCTATTCTCACCTGCATGTGGTTGCTCTCCTGTCGTTTCACTTCAGGATTGATACAAAGCTGCTCTCTGGAACCCAAAACACATATCTTTGGCCTGTTCAAACAGAACATACAAACTTGGTGTTAAAAATACAACAAGAAAGAAGAATGCAGTTGAACAAACCTATGTGGGGCTTAATATCTCAAATGTGAGAAGTTCATGAGAAATAGATGAGCATAAAGCACGGGTCAGAATCATAACCAACGAGTTACTTTGTTTACAACAGCCACAGATACACTTCATAGTACTACATTTCCCCCAGGAATAGTGGGAGGTAATGAGTAGCAGCTTACATCATGCAGTAGAAAATCTGGGTTTTGTTATGACAGATCAGCCAGATAAGCTGGGGCTGCCACCTATTGCAAGGTTCTCGAGTGGCAGCTGTCATTATTACAGGAATAAGCTTATGACAAGAACTAATGCAAGGAATTTTAGAAGCAAATGTGTGAAACAAAGAACCTAAACCAGACTGAATAAGTCTGGTCAGTAAGTATCAGTTTTTTATACCTTCATACATTTAAACAGACATAAATTCAGACAGCAACTAAAACAGTATTTTCCTCCACCTTTTCTTTAAATAGGAGCACCATCCTAAATCATATTTACCTGTAGACTGTGTTCTTTAATTCATTAATGACCTGTGTAAGCTGAGAGTGAGTTCTGGATGCATAAATTATTTTAGGAATGTCTGTGTAATACGCTGTCAAATAGAAGGGGGGGGGGGAAGAGCAGAAAAACTATTAGCACAACAAGAAGAACATGGGATATTATTAGTTTCCTTTCCAGCTGGTGCTATGGCAACGATCTGCCTTGTAGAGACAGCAAGATTTTGTCACACAACTACTCACACACACAAAACGAGCTAAAAGTACTTTTAATACTCTAAAAAATTTAAAAATACATAAATGAAAGTGTTCATTAACATTCCTGCATCGCTCCCACTGAGTGTAAAAATCAAAGAACTCACTTGGGATGTCACCATCCGTGGCAGCACTGCCCCAGGAAGACATGGGTCTGTCAGGGAACAGTTCGACTCCATTCATACGCTGTGCAATTTTGCGGGCTGAGATGGTATCTTTGATATGTTCCCTCCAGGCCAGAGTGGAACAGAGCAGGCACAGGGTCTTTCCTGTGCCTGTAGGGCTCTCTAGAATGCCGTTTACTTTCTTTATTGAAGAGAAATAAAAGGAATAAGGGAAAAATGAGTAATTTGGAGGCTCAGCTAGAACGACTGCATAGGGCTGTGCTTTCTCATACAACAGAAAAATACGTATCAGTATAAAAGTTTTATAAGCTGGGACTGTTTAGTCTGGAGAAGAGGAGACTCAGAGGAGACCTCATTGCACTCTACAACTTCCTGAAGGGAGGCTGTGATGAGGAGGGGTTCAGCCTCTTCTCCCAGGCAACAAACAGGACCCAAAGAAACGGCCACAAGTTGTACCAGAGGAGGTTTAGGTTAGACATAAGGAAGAACTTTTTCTCTCAGAGTGGTCAGGAGCTGGAATGGCTGCACAGGGAGGTGGTGGAGTCACCATCCCTGCAGCGTTCAAGGGGTGCCTGGATGAGGAGCTACGAGATCTGGTTTAGTAGCCTGTGGTGGCAATGGTGATGGGAGGACAGTTGGACTAGATGACCTTGCAGGTCGTTTCCAACCTTGTGATTCTATGATTCTATAATTCTAAAAGCACGACCTGTAGGACCGTCTAACCAACTTATTGAGCTCAGCCTAAAGCCCAGAGTAAGAGGAACCACCACGCACAACACTTCAGCTAAAAACCCTCCGCTCGCGGGTAACAGCAACAAAACGAGAGGCGATGGGCTCACGTCGCCCCAGGGGAGACTCAGCTCAGGCATCAGGAGATGCCATCCTTCGCCAAGAGCGGTGACGCAGCGGCACAGCCGCACAGGGGGCGGGGGGTCGCCATGCCCGGAGCCGTGGGGATGCGGCACCGAGGGACGCGGGCACGGCGGGGCCGCGCTTGGCGGTCTCACCGTCTGCAGACACTCGAGCACTTTGGCCATGTACGTCTCCTGGCACTCGTAGGGCTGGAAAGGGAAATCCACCGTCACGCCCCTCAGCGTGATCCGCGGCATCGCTGCCGATCGATCCCTGCAACGGAGCGCGCCGTTAGCAGCCGCTAAGAACCTGGAGACCGCCGTTCAAAGCCGTTTTAAGGCCGTCCCAACCCGTCTCCCCTCCCGCCCCGCTCGCAGTAACGCTGCCGCCCCCCCCCCACCTCCCGCTCCGCCGTTCGGAATCCCCGCTCCGCGTCACGCGCCTCCCGCGCGCAACTCGCGTTGCGTAACTTCCGGCGCACGCTCTCGCGAGACTTCCGGCGTTGCCTAGGAAACGAGGCCTGTGTAGGCCGCGGCGGGGCTGTCAGTAGGCCGCGTTGTGTCCCGGCTGAACCAGCGGCGAGCAAATGGGGCCGGGGGTTTTGTGCCGCCTCCTGTGATCTGTTGTGGAGGCTCTGGGAGGCGTGGGCTGGGAGGGGCCGAGCCCTGATGGTGGTTTGGTCCTCAAGGGCGGCAGGGCTTGAGCCTGAGAGGGGCTCCTCCGCCCTGCTCAGCCGCTGTGCGGTTCAGGCCCTGGGAGACAGCAGGTTGGTCGCTAAAAGGGGCCAAGAAGCCGCTTTTCTCAGCCTGACCCCCCTGGGCTGTGCCTCTCCAGTGTGTAGGTAGTGGCTGGAGCATCTCCTCGCCTTGTTATGGGCTCAGTGTGATGGGGATGGCTGAGGTTTCTCTGTTGGGCTGCTTTTTGCCCTGCACATCTGGCACACGGCACAGAGCAGCCACACAGCTCGGGGTTTGCTGTGGAGTCACCCTGCCTGGTAGATAAAGGAATGTCTCTTTCATTTTGTTGGGCCTCGTGGCTTCTGCAGTAAGAACAGTAGTGAATTTTGACAGGTGTCTTTTGCTAAGGGTGAATGTACTGCTCCTTTGTTTTCCTTTTGCTTCCCTTCAGCACAGTTCTCTGCCACAGTTCGGCTTCCTGTTGCTGGTGCACGTGGCCAGGAGCTGCCTGGAGGCTGCAGCCCCTCAAACCTCATGTGCCACAACCAGCCCTGAGCTGCTCCGTCCTCATGGATCTGTGTGTGTAAGATTCCAAGAAACCATGCAGCTCTTGTAATAAATGGGTAGGTGTGGTTTACCTGGATCCCCAAATTTCACTGAACTGTATTTTATGTGCTTACATGCAGAGGAAAGTAGGAAAAAAATGTTTCAGATGCATCCCCCTGCGTTGTTGCAGCATCCCACGCTGTTAGACAGTTGTTGTGAAGATGCAGAACAGGATGTGGTTTAACTTACTGTATCTTGTCAAATATCTCCTAGCAAACTGCAAGGGGTAATGTTTGTATATAGAAGTGTTCAAATACTTAACAGACCTTAAATGTGAGTCTGTTGTATAACCTGATCTCAAACTTCTGGTATATTCTGTGTTCAGTTAGGGGAGTTTACTTATGTGGCTCTTTTGCTTGCCAGTCTTTAAATTCCTTGAGCTGAAGTTGCCTGGCTTGTAAATTGTCTTTAACTGCAGCTAATGGGCTGGAGAGATTTGGGTTATTCTTTCTGTGCTTTGTGGTGCTCCACACAAAATGTAACAATTTATTTTGCTTCTGTTTCTGAATGTGCCAGAGAGCTCTAACTTGATATTCATTGTGCAAGATTATGCTGTAAAAGAAATGACTTATTAAAACTGAAACACCATGAGAGTGAGCAGTAAGTTTATAATGGAGAATAAAGGTTTAAAAATGATCACAAATACATTGAATTTTCTGCCATTATTTCTTATAACTTTCCTACGCTGAAGAAGAATAACAGCAGCACTATATCAAATCAGATTATTTTTAGGGTTATTTAGGTAGTGTTGATTGAAGCAATGTTACCTTTAGAGAAGATCTGGAAGGCTACCAAACCCAAAAAGGAGTGTGAGTCAGCAGCCGCGCTGTTGTCCGGGCCGTGTGAGTCAGCACTGGCTGAGGGCTCCTTCTCCTTCTGGAGGATTGGTTCTCTGCACCATTTACCTTACTTGACCAAGTCTGCAGTGCCAGCATTGGGAGCCTGTCATTGCTGCACCTGAGTATTCTAAAATCACAGAGCAGAATCTCACAAGGTAGGGATTTGTTTCTCGTTAAAGTTGCTGAAGAATTGTGGAGGTTCACTGAAGCTAGAACATCTGTTTTATGTTGTGACACAAACACAATAAGCACAAGAATTCGTCTTATGCCTGGACTTTCATTCTGGTTCCTGGCTCCCTCCATTCTTTCAAGGCAAAACTTTGAAGAGGGAGAAAGAGAGAGGATAAGAAAGTTTTGAAGAACAAAACAGATCAGCACAGTTACTTGGCAGCCCAGTCCCTACATCCTTAACTCTTGTTAGATGATGAATCAAGACAGGAGGATGTGCAGCCAGCTGAGTTTTCCTCACTGTGTGCTCAGGTCAGTGGATGTTGATTTTTGGATGAACCATTTTTCATTTGAAGCGGTGCCTTCAAGGGGAGAAACACAAAGGAAAAATCTTAAAAAAGACTATTCTCAAACTCCATAGGGAAGGGGGTGTGAGAGTAACTGAAGTGAACTACAGGGCCTCCTGCAAGCAGAAGGTTTGTGCAGTGCAGAAGTACAAAGTGCACCACCTTTAGTTTTGCTCAGAGGCCACCTATGCAGGATTTCTCTTCCCAGTCAAGTGAGAATCTTGAGGAATGGGAGTTGATGTCGAAGAGCAGCATCAACTGACTGAAATCGCTGCTATTTGTAGGAAGGATATTTTTCTCCTTTCATACAGGAGATGATTAGGTTGCCATTCATTGTCCTTCTCAGCATGTGTGATGGTTCCCATAGCAACCATCTAAAAGTTTTGTTTGGCCACATAATTATTTGGTTCCTTTGAATCCAGGTAATCCAGAGCCTTGATATCTTTTCCCTGTTGGGTAACAACAACAGCAAAACAACAGCTTTCCTCTTTGACACTCAGACTTTTCACACAGTCATTCTGTCATTAGAAAAATAAGTAAACACCCATTTTACAGATGAAGAAGCTGAAGCAGATGGGATTAATGCTTTGGTGGAAGCTGTACGGCTTCACATGCTTCAAATTTACCCTTTGTCATCTGTGGTTGCTCAGCCCTCCTTTGTACTGCTAACTTCTGTATGCATGCTGCAGTTGTAGCTGTGCACCCAGGGGTGACCTGAATCCACAGCTTGCTTTGCACCTTTACGTGACTGAAGTAGCACAACTCTTCTCCCCGACCCAGTCCCTTTGTACAACTTGGCCTCATTTCTCAAGTGCACAATGATTATGAAGAAGAGACATCAGAATAACCCTGTTGTTTCCTTGCCTTCAGGGAAAGATTTTCTTGATTTAGTGCTGATACTGTCATGGATTTCTTGTATTAGTTAACAATTTCAAGGTTGATGGCTGTCCTGTGTGGAACATTTATTATTTCATGCCAACTAAGGCAGCTTCTCCCAGCTTGAGACTGCAAACAGTACAGGAAGGTCTCATGCTATTGCCAGGCAATGTGTTATTGCCCTGTATTGCAGTACCATAGAAAAAATGGAACTTGAAAAGACAGTTGCATTTAAAATAAGGACGAAAGATCACCCAGTGTAAGAGACGGATCCAGCATTAATTACACTGAAATTATTTATGCGTCAGGTCATCTGGAAAGTGTCATCAATACTGGAGCTGAAGTGAATGCTGTGTGGCATAGCCACTTTCATGGAGTTTGCTCACTGTTGCTTGTGCTCCAACAGGACGTGTGCCTTGGAAGTGTTCTGTGCCTTTTTCTAAATAAAAGGAAGAAAACTCATGCAATTGATGTCTGGAAGCTTCAGAACATTGCAAGGGGTAGGCAGACCCTGTCTGACCTCCTGGGTGAATCAAAGCCAGAGCTGATGCTGAATGGAATGGGAGAATTCCAGTATTGGTGAGCTTGGGATAGCTGTCTTTACCTGCTAATGGGGAGATGTATTTATGAACCATAGGAAACTTCAGCCTGCAGGCCTCGGGATGACCCATAAAGTCATAGAAATTCAGCCAAAGGAAAAAGCAGGGGATTCACAGCTGGGAAACAAGCCTTGAATAGATGCAGGTAGCAGTTAATTGTCCATTTGGGATTTAAAAAAAAAAAAAATCCTGCTTCGAACACAGAGTGGAAAATTGTGGATAATGCCAGTATTATCCTGAATTAGACTTAAGATTTTTATCTCTGTGATAAATCCTTTCATTTGATGTACAGTGTTGAGGGGATGGGGCACTTGGAGACTGGAGGAAAAGATAGGAAGAAAGGGCTTTGAGACTTCCAGTGCATTCAGCAGGCATTGCATGTAGCTCCCATCCCTGTTGCAGCAGCGTGAGCAGCCCTTGGATCCCTGCAGCTGCTGGGGGGGGGCTCGGGAGAGCCTGCATTGCAGTGCACTGGGGGGGCTGCAGCCGGGGGCTGTGCAGGGGGCTGCAGGGCTCTGTGCAAAGCCCAGCTGAGGGAAAATGTGGTGGTTCTGTGGTCCTGAGCGTGGTTGGGGGATGTGCTGCAAAAGCACAGGTGTGCTGGCCTCTAGGAGAAGAAACAAAGGGGGAAATGGTGGAAAATGGAAAAGGAAGAAGAAGAAAAGATGTCCCTGATGCCTGAGAAATAATAATGATGAATACATACATATGTAGAGAGAGAAAAGTTCCACTGGATTCAGAAGGCTCTGTTCTGCTCTTCTGCATCTACTTTTACAGCAGTTTCACCCCTGACTGCAGCCCCTTTGGTGCCCTGGTGCACAAACTGTGCCTAAAAACACTGAGCCCATCAGGAAGCCCCCCTCCCTGCCTGCACTGTTTGGCTGAGAATGCGGCAGGGTTTGGGCTCCGGCTGTGAGCTCCATCCTCCTCATTAGCAGAACTCAGAGCCGCTTCATCCATTTCGTTATAAAAAAATTATAATAATAATAATAAATGAATGGAATGAGATGAAACAAAAGGAAATGAGAAAAGATGCCAATAATAAAAAAGATCGTTAAAAGAAAAAAAAAAATTTTTTTTTTTGCTCGGTTTTGCTTTCAACGGATAAAAGGGAAGGAGAACAGCAGAGAAGAAAGGCAGGCAGGGGAGAAGGCCATCTTTTGCCGGAGCTGGGTGTGTCTGCCCCCCCCCCCCCCCCCCCCCCCCCCCCCCCCCCCCCCCCCCCCCCCCCCCCCCCCCCCCCCCCCACCTACCCAGCACCCCCCTCCTCCCGGCTCCGCAGTTCTGGCAGCGGGCGGACGGGGAGGGACCGCCGTCAAAGCCGCCCGGAGGAGCCGGAGCCGCTCATTGCCGCCGCCGCGGACCCGCCCGTCCCTCCGCTCCATCCCCGCTTT